AGCATTGCAGTGTGTTTCACATTGTAATACGTGAGCATTGCAGTGTGTTTCACATTGTAATACGTGAGCATTGCAGTGTGTTTCACATTGTAATATGTGAGCATTGCAGTGTGTGCAAATGGAAAACGGGCAGTTACTTTGATTTCAGTTTTTCATCTTCACAGATAAAATATTTTTATTGTAGTCTTTATACTTTAAAAATATCTGCAGATCCTTATTTCACTTATATTTGGTTTTTAACATGGAAATGATTGTCTTTAATTTTCACGTGACGTGTACATTTGAACTCACACTACAGAAAATATTTTAGAAGTTCTTTTAGCTCCATTTATCCACTAAACAAGGGGAGACTTTTTAAAACTAAATGGAGACAGTTATGTGTGTATGTGTTCATGTTTGTGTGGGTTAAACAAGAGCTGTATGGATGCATATAGCTCCTAGAAAGAATTTCTTCAATATAGTTTTTACTATGCATCCCAAGGCTAGGTTCTTCTGTAGATGACTGAAAATTTTGACTGATAACCTTTTTCCTACCTACTGCCTAGTCAGATTCTAGAATTATTTAATTAGATTATAAAAGCTAGTTCGTTGTTCTCTACAGTCTAGAGTTGTCAAATTATAACAAATGCATTTGTTTTATGCTTTTTGTATTATAAAATGATCTGAGTTGTAATTTTACTTTTATCATTAATGCGATGACTTTGTTGCAGTGATCTGAGAAAATTGATACTGGGAGGGGTTATTTTTTCATTTTTATGGTCATGTTCTTACAGCTAGTAGAAAAATGTAGGCTGAAAATACAAAGTGGGCTTTTTCTGGTTTGAAAATTTAAGAAAATCTCATTTCTATCAAGTGAGGTCTTTCACGACCTTACTGTCTGAGATTCGGAAACCCTGGACAGCTGTTGGCATTTTCTGTCGTGATGCACTGTCCAGTTTGCTATTGCTCAAAAGAAATCAGCACTGGTAAGGAATAGCATTGGCTTTCTGGGGCTTTAGTCTAGTGGTAGCTGACCTGCATTCTGTACAGTTGCTCAGCCTCACCTGAATCTTTAAGCTGTGCAGCGGCCGTAGCAAGGGTGGAGGTAGGATTCAGGCATAGAACGAAAGAACCAAATACTATGTATTTGATTTTATATTCTTAATGGGATTTTCTAAGGAATTGTGTCATGTCTCCATTTGACTTTCTTATATGCTTGCTATTTAACTTAAAAAAAAAAAAACACATACACACACACAAAAATTTAAGGATATTCATTTAGGATGAACAGATAAGCCTTCAAGTAAGAAATGAAAACTTGCAGAGAAGCAAAAAATCAGCGTAGAGTTTTTAGCATTTAGAACAGTTTTTGGTTTTAACATTCTGAAATAATTTAAGATTCTTATAAACATATTCATATTCTAAGTTGTGAGGTATTTTACGATTAATCATTTGAACCTGATTTGTTGAAAAAATGTATTTTTCATGCATTTATTTCTTCATTGCTTCACTCATCAGATGTCTTGAGTGCTCCTTTGTGGGAGGCTCTGTTTAGGCCCTGGGTATGGTGGTGAAAGCAAGTCTTTGCCCTTGTGGAGTTTGCAGTATTTGTCAATGGACACAGTAAAGAAGCTGGCTGTGGTAGATAAGTGTTAGATCTGTGAAGAATGGACATGGCTTACTAATAAGCATTTCTAAGAAAAATTGAAAGTGAATTTGTCTATTCATATAAGAACGCAGACAACAGATGTTATCTACTTAAATAGCATTAATCTCATTTCTGTTTTTGAACTCTCAATACACTATTTACCCCAAAAAGCAGGTGCCGTTACTAGCCAGAGCAGGCCTCAGAGCCACAGCAGTGGAGAATTTAGCCTGCTTCATGACCATGAGGCTTGGTCCAGCAGTGGTAGCAGCCCCATCCAGTACTTGAAAAGGCAGACCAGGTCAAGTCCAATGCTCCAGCACAAAACGCGTGAAGCATTAGACAGTCGGGCGCATCACAAGATCAGGACCGGTTCCCCTGGAAGTGAAGTCGTCACTCTGCAGCAGTTTTTGGAAGAAAGCAACAAGCTTACCTCAGTACAGGTCAGTTTTATCTGTGGTGGCCTTAATTTAGAGGAACACCACAAGTTAAATTTCTATGACTGAACTGAGTTGTCTTTTTAGTGAAGGAGTGTTCAGAGATATTAGCAGTTTTGTATATTAATATATCAAGAAAGTAAAAACATGGCTGTACTCACTAATCTGCTTTGATTTTTTTTTTTTTTTTTTAAAAAACAGATAAAGTCCTCAAGTCAAGATAATCTTTTAGATGAAGTAATGAAAAGTTTGTCTGTCTCTTCTGACTTTTTGGGGAAGGACAAACCAGTGAGCTGTGGTCTGGCCAGGTCAGTAAGTGGAAGAACCCCAGGGGACTTCTGTGATAGACGGACAACTAAGCCAGAACAATTTGTGAGACCTGGTTCTCGAATGACTGAAGATACTCACTTCACTGGTCCTCCAGGAAAATCTACAGCAGGCACTCAAGGAAGAATAAAGTCGGTAAAAGAAACTTCTCTGCCACGACAATCAAAAGATAGTAATCCTTACGCTACTTTACCACGCGCAAGCAGTGTGATCTCTACTGCCGAAGGAACTACCCGAAGGACGAGCATCCATGATTTTCTGACCAAGGACGGTCGGCCGCCGGCGTCGGTCGATTCCGCAGCAGCCACTGCTGACAGCGGCGTCCATGCGGCACCTAGTGAGTACTGTTTGCACCCGTGGTCCCCTCGGGTACTTCCCAGTCCTGCACCCGCTGTAGGTTCCCCCGCGCCAAGTGAGTTACCTGCAGATATGTCAGCATCCTGCCCTGAGTCTCTGTGTGCCCAGGCTAGAAGCTCACGAACAGAAAGGTCACAGTTTCTAAACCCAGCTTTTGCCACTGTTGGTGTGTCTGGTGATTCATTTGGAATGTCAGCTAAAGATAGCATGGGGTCATCTACAATGACGCATTCATCGCAGCCGTTTTTATCCCTGAATACAGAATTAGTTAGTAACATCAGTGGGCTCCCGCCCAGAGCAGTCACTAAAGTCCCTGATCAGGCTTCCACCTCTTGGGGTAAAGCTGCACAGAAGGGGAATGAACAGCTTTCTGACAATCAGACTCCTAGTAACAGTAACCCACAGTCGCCTCTAGCTGGCAATAGTCTCATTACTGCTGCATGCCTCAGTCCTGGTGACACAGATGCTGCATTGTTGGTTTCTGAGGATAATCAGACTGTTTGGTATGAATATGGCTGTGTATGATCAGAACTGCCCGATACGGTCCTGATGTCCTTTGATATGCGCTGTGCTTCTCTAAATCTGATTGGAAGAGCTGCTTTGGAAAAGTGTCATTTGGCTAGGTTCATATTTTTACGTTTAAATTGTGGCACAGCGTTCAGCTGTACATGGTGGCATGTATATAAATGTCAATTTGTAACCACACCAAAACCTGCATGAAATAGTAATTGCATTGTACATTTTCTGCATGCCTTTAAAAAGCCTTAACAGTAAGTACATGCTCCTCTTTCGTATTTCTGTTGCCTGATAAAAGATTGTTAACTTTGATATCCAGAAGCATGTTAAAACAGTTGCATGCATTTCTAGGTCGTATTTGCTCTGTTGCTTTCAAGAGAATGCTTGTTTTTCTCTCCCCCACCCGCCCTGTCCTTTTCCTCTACCCCCTCTTCCCTGCCCCTCCCTATCTCCCTCCCTCTCTCCCTCCCAATCCCTCTCTCCCTCCCTCTCTCCCTCTTTCTCACCCTCTCTTCCTTTCACTCCTGTCCTTTTCTCCCCCCTGAATGTGTACTTCATCTTGCCCATGAACAGTATTAGTAAGGAAAATATGTAAAAAAAAGATGTCATTGTTTTTTGCCATTAAATTGTGCCATCTGCCCTGTCATTTTATTTTCAGAGAAATAGTGAATAATTCAGTTAATGCTTTATGTAGCAGATGTCTCTTGCCCATATTTATAAAACATTGTTGGTACTCATACACTTAGTGTTATTCTGAAAAAACCCCATCAAACTTAAATGTAATTTATACAGTAACTAGGGGTGTTTGTATTCTATTTCTCCTCTGCACTTTTCTACACCTGATAAATACAAGCACTCAAGTACTATCTTTCCTTCAAGATGACTTTTTTACTTGGAATCAGTTAACACAGTAGTTGCTCTAGTTCTTTCTTTATACACGGAGTCAAAAAGAAATAAACTAAATCTTACTCAATGTGTTGGAAATTTGTATTTTTACTTGTATTCAAAAAGTGTAGCAAGTTTACAAAATGGGAAATAATAAGTCTTTAGACTTTGAAGCTTTAGTTCAAAAAGACTATAAAAAGATTAGTTTTTATAAGGATTGTTAGTTCTGTAATTGATCTATTGTTAAATTATGTACGTGTGTCCTTAAACAGAATTTTGACAAATGAGAACATTGTGCTAAAATGTAAAATTACAACTTGAACCACTTAAACAAGTATCTTTTTAGTAGATCAGATTTTAGAACTAAGAATAAATACAAACTCTTTAGCTAAAATATAACCATAACATACAGAAGATATTTGCCAACTCTGACTCCAGTGTCATAAACTTTAAAATTCTTTCTGTGACCATAGCATTTTTAAAGCAGAATCAGCTAAACTTGAATCTCTGACTCCCAGAATATTAGAAAACCTGTAGTCCTGATTCACTTCTGTAGGAGTCTGTCTTAGCTCTGTTTCTAGAATGGTTTTGCCGTTTTGATTTAGCCTAAATACTCCTGAAAATAACTCAGCCTGACATTTGGAAGGAATGCTTTGAAATGTGACTTTCTAAATGGGGGGGAGATTATTCTTTTACATATTGTTATTATTAATTAGACCAAAGACAACAAAATCTATGGAGACTCTTTGTTTAATGAAATTTGTATTCTTTGTATATTAAACCATCCTCTTGTACTTTTCTGCAAGATCATTTTGGGGACTTGGTCCCAAAAGGTAATATGTTTGACCAGACTTCTTTTCTCATAGCCAGGTGTTACTAAAAATTTTTCAGGAGCAGGTATTCAAATGAACACAGTCAGAAAATGTTCATATTTTTTAGTTCTGGCTAATATATTTTTGGTACGAATACATCAGTCAACTTTATTGTCAATTTTTGCACAGTCTTCATGTTCAGATGCTTCTGGTGCTAATATTCTCCTTATATGAAAAATTAAAATCACCCATTTCTTTTTTCATAATCTAGTAATAATACTTAATAGTGAACATGGGTGAGAGTAGATGGGGGCCATATGAGATATAAATGTAACAATTAGCGTTACTTCTTTTCTATATTGAGTCAAAGATTATTCACAGCTATTCCAATTTTTAGATGTTACAAATCTCGTCATAACACTTTAAAACATTAAATTTATTCATTCAAAATACATTGAAAAATCATGTGCTGTTATATCAATAACTATGTGGTTCTTTTACAGAATTAAACTGATAGGAACTAAGTGTGTCCTGCTCAGATAGCTATGGTTATGTATACAGTCTGTTTTCAAAAAGAACATAGCCACTGCGCATGTGAGAGAAACAGAGACCATGCCCATGTGCCCTGAGGACTGTCTGGCAGTACACACTATACTTCCTCCAGAAACCTCCATTCGCTGTGGAGTCGTAAAATTCCCCACAACAACGCTAGTTTCTTACCTGTGGACTAGCACTTCGAATCAAATTTCTAGCAATGAGGAGAGCCTTAGAGACCATATAGAACCAGTGTTTCCCATGCTTTAAAAAAGTCAATTTAACACTTTCTATAGTAAATGAAATCTTACAGAGATATCCAAAATTTTAAAAAAAAAATTTTTTTTTTTTTTAAAGATAAAAGTATAACTCTGATTCAACTGAGCAGCTGCACATTCCTTCCAAGGAGCGGCTGGTGGATTCAAACTGCCAACCTTTTGGCTTGTAGCCGTAGCTCTTAACCACTACGCCACCAGGGCTCCATAAATATCTTAGGACTTCACAAAGGATTATTTGAAAAAAAAAAGAAAAATTGAAGATCCAGTACCCTAATACTATAAATGATGAAACTGAACAGCATTCATATTCCTGGCCTACATTTCTAGAAATTGTACCCCTGTTATTTGTGAGGCATTGTAAACTTACTTTGTTAGGCATCGGCTCCCTCTGACCCAAGCAATTTTAGCTGTAGCCAGTGTTGAAGTAGGTACATTAAATGCCTATAAAATATTCCCCAAGTCCTGGTTTTATTAGTAAATAATAAAAAATATTTCATTGTGGATATTCCTGCTGCCGCGTGCAAGAATTTTTTTATTTTAAAACTCCGTGACCAGTGAGTAAACAGTAAAGGAAATTTGTGGGACACTCAGAGAGGGAAAATGTAATCGTTACAGTGTTTCTTTTAAATAGTTTTACCTTCATAAGTATATTACTTACAGCTTCTAAAATACATGATCAGTCTTTAAGTAATACGATAGCTATCAGATGAAAGTGTTCCCAGGCAGTGAGATTTCTTCTCCTTGCCTTATTCAGTGAGAGCTCCTTAGCTGATCTTCATGAATTGTATTATGTATAAATCTTTGATGAAATAACATGAAATGCTTTTCTCCTGCAGATGTGGACAAAGTACAAGAAAGCAGAATTTCAAAAAGCAGGTCTAGGGAGCCACAAAGCTCCTAATTCTGTTACCCACTACATGACATGTGGGCCAAGTGGTGAGTTTCCGGCCTGAAATGTGAATGAGATTAGTCTCATTTGTACAAACTAACTGCATTAAGAATGAGAACAAGTGTGCATTGCATTAACAGATGTAAATATTGCTTGCTTAATTCATTGACTTTCTGTCCTACTTGCTAGTAAAGCAAGATTGGTTGGTTGCCGTAGGTTTTTGCCTGTCCATGCAGGGAACAGACCTTTAAAAATGATTTTTCTCTTTATTTCTCGATTTAAATTTCATTTTACTAGTGAATGTTTCAGGAACTCCTTTTTTAGTTCAGAGTCATGTTTGTGGTAGGAATACCAGTTCGCCACCATTTTCTTGGTAACAGAGGAGCATAAATTCAATTACTTCTCTACAAAGAGCCCCTCAAAGAAAAATGGGCCCTGAGTTTCTGTCACTTGCTCATTCCTATAGAAGTATCTGGTGCATGCTGTTCTTGCAGTGGCTGTTCTGTATTTTATCTCTCTTTTATCTTCCAGCTTTTCTCACATTTTCTTTCTTCTTTCTACCTTCCAACTAAATGCAGAGAGAAAACTGTCCCTCAGTTTCTCAGTGTGGAGCCTTTATTTCTGAAGTAACAAGACAGCCAACTATAGGAATCGTTTAAAAAATCTTTAAAAGGAGACGTAACAATCCTTCGTGAATAGAGCAGGCAAGAATACAAACCTTCCTTCCTTGAATCAAGGAGCCCTACTGGAATCAACTGCCAAAATTTTTAGGTTTTAGGACTTACCATACGTTGTACTGTTAAGATCTACTGAATAAAGGATGTTCTCTCGCTAAGGACCAAGTGTTCTGTGGTTTCAAGAAGTACTCCAAGAACAGTCTATTTCTTTCCTTCATTGTTTGTTTATGAATTTATCCATGTTTGCTTAATGCTTCTGCTAAGTATTTGCCCAAATCTAGCCATTTATATTTAGTTGTGTAAATCTAAATTAAATGCTGTAGTATTTTGTGGAATGTTCTATATATCAAGATACAGAGAAAATTGTTTTGGCATGTCAGAGCCCTATTTGGTTAGCAGACTGCATGTGTTGGTACTCTTTAAAAAGCCAATTATTTTGATGCACTGCAAAAGAAATTCAGTTTAAAAGATAAATCTGAAAAATCCATAATGAGATAGGAGTTACGAAAAATTTACAGTGATACTACTCTGCTTGTTCATGTTCCTCACTAAGCAACACTAAGCACAGGGATCCAAGGTCATTAAAGAGTGTTTTTCTGAAACTTGTTTAATAAGGTGGTTTTCCAGCCAGTGGCGTTCCCAGGAAAAGTCTGTTACGTTCTCCAACTCGTTTCCCTTCTTTGGTACCGGATTGTGTACATGTGTCTGATTTTTGTTTTTGAGAGCTGACTGTTGCTTAAGAAGTTTTCTTATAGCAAGAAATGTAAATAATTTCCTATGATCTGCATTTTGACAGGAACTCATTTATTATTAAGGTTATCATTTATTAATGAAAACTTTTGGTTTTGTCCTTTATAATACCACATTAAAGTTGATAACTGTGATTGGTACTTTTGAAATATTTGTATGTGTTTGTTACCATAAACATTTGGAAAGGAGCACAAAAAAAGTAGATTTAGTTAACCCAGGGAAACATGAATTTTTTAGTAGTTCCAATTTTATATCACAGTTTTATTTTCTTATGAAATCAAAAAAACCGCGTTTTAACAGTGCACTTCTTAGGCTCTCATTACCAGCTCTGAAGCTTTTTTTGGAATAACTCTAATTCCATAGTGTGTGGTTTATGAACGGAGCATTTCAGTATTAATCCAGTAGCTGTGAGAAAATGTGTGTGTGTGTGTCCCACCCCCCCCACCCCGCCGCCACCCATAGGCCAGTAGCAGTATTCATAGTCTACTTTTGGAAAAACCTTAAATTAAGAGAGAGAAACAGCAAGTTTAGTTGGCCAGAAATTGAAATGGGAGTTAGAGACTTGGACTTATTTAACTTAATGCCACCGTTAACTTAGGTTTTGCCACCAAATAATGCTGCAAAGTTCAGTCACTTTGAAACTCTTGGATGAAAGGTGCTATGTAAATGTAAATACAAAGAATTTTTACTAAAATACAAATATTGCACAAAAGACATACTGACAACCTAATCTCTAGACCTTGCCACACCTCTCTTCATCAGGACGGACTCCCTGGATTCACGTATCAAGCTGGTGACAGGCATCGTGCCAGTCTGGAGATGCTTGCGTGTAACAAAATGTAAATTCATTTTTAGGTGGATAAAATTGAAATTAAATGTAGAGATTGTTTTACCTAAATACAGTAAGTAGGTAACTTAGATTGAGATTAACTAGCATCTAATTTGCACAACCAGGCCACATCCCAGGACAGTTATAGAAAGTTGGAATTTAATGAGTAGGAGGTAGCCCGGTGAAGGTGAAGTATCCCAGCTTGACTTCTCCAGAACACTCATATCCTAAATAGGGAACCTGCTGACTTAAGAAGCACCTTTTAGCCTCAAGTAGAAAACGCTTAAGGGCAGTCTGTAAAATACACAATCTGTGTAGGGTGACACTGAGAAAAGGCAATTAAAGAGATAACCAAGGGAGCACATTGAGACTGCAAAAATAAGAATATTCTCAATTATATTCATGACCTTTTTCATACCATTTCAAGAAAGGACTAAATAATAACCGCATGAATATTTTATTTTCTCCAGAAGATACCTTCAGAAGCAAACTCTGTAGGAAGCCACTCTTTTAGATAAACTTCCTTGGCCAGACTAAATGGTAGAACCAACCAGAAACTGACCAGGGCCATATGCTTTTAATTACTTGGCTCTATTCTAAATCGACACCTCAAGCCCCAGGAAACTGAAGAATTCAAATACACAGGATAATAGCCCCAGCCCAGAGCTCCAGTAATGTGCGTCACATTTGGCCTTGTGGAAATGCTCAGTCCAAGTTTTTGAATTAGTGGTTACCAAAGAATGAATGAAACAGGTTTACGTGCAGCACCTCTCATGCCAAGGCATGGCAAGAGCATCCTGAAAGATTCACTGTGCACACTGAATTGTCATCACCTCACACACGCAGTCATCACAGCCTGCCCTGTCTTAACAGCTTGTCAGGTAGTGAAAAAGATACTGTACCAAATCTGGAATTACAGTGGAGAGTAATAATGTATGCTAAATAACTTGTATTTTAAGTTACTTACGAGAAAAGTGGTGGATTTTTGTTTGTGCTTTTCTTTCCAGCCTAGTCCCGAGATGTATTTTTTAAGCCTTGAACGAATAATACAAACGGAACCCATTTATAATAAAAAACCTTGATGTACGAACGTGGTATTTGGACAACAGAAATGCCTTAAAAGGAATGCTTATGGATAAAGTTGCACTTGAAACACCCTTTAACAAAATCTGATTTTGAATTGTCTTTTCCTTTTCTATGAAGAGTTCTTTTTCAATGTTTGTCATTGTGCTTATACCTGTTATTAAATACCAAATCAAACAATATAAAAACTGTAACCTTTCTTTAAAAAACTAATGCTAATGAGAGATTTGGAGTTGAATGTTAAAATGTTTATTACTTGATGATACCTAGTATCAGCCACAGAAATCCAACACATAACAAAAGTTAACACCATCTGTTTGCTTGGTATCTTTTTAAAAACACATTATTTTTCATTTTAGTTCTTAACTTTGTTTCTCCTAAAAAAATTAATTTGGTTTAACATTCCAGGTATCAAAGTGATATAAAAAGAAATAAAACAAAATGAATTTTTATAACAAGTTGTTAGTAATCATTTAAAAATTACAACATATAATTTTAGCCAAGTGTTATTCTTTCGTTCCTTTCCCTTTGGCCCAGAAAACCTATTTTCAGACACAACCCATCACTTTCCATAATCCTTTTAGATGATCCTAAAAGTCGTAATCATTTTGGGATGAGTTTTGGAGGTTTGAGGAGTCTTCAATTCTGTTAATCCCCGAATAGGGTGAAATAAAATTCAATAGGTTGCACAAATTAATCTCGTTCATTTTCAGTGTGGGAGGCAGAATGACATTGGAGACAGCTACTGGCCTCGTGTCCTTGGGCAGGCCCGTCTTTCTGGGCTTGTTTTCTGGGAAGAGCAGTTAGGCCAGGTAATATCTGAGGTCCTCAGTTTCCATCACTCGATTCATTAGTGCCTTCATTTTAAACATAACCTAAAAATTCCTTTTTCATTTTTTTTGGTCTTAGAGACACAGTACAGAATTAATAAAAACTAACACGGGATCTTCGAATAAGGTTATCATTTATGGGAAATACAAACCATCTCTTAAACCCAGTGTTCTTTTTTTAATTATTTTTGTAGTTTCTGATATGTATCAAAATAACTCGTTTTTACTTTTTTCTTTAGTAACACAAATTGGTGCCAGTTAAGTACACGACCTTCACCAGGTGGGGATTATTAAAATGTGGTTCTCTTAAGAATATTCCGTATCACTGTACTGGAAGACGACATGAGAATTTTCATAGCCACGTGAAAGTTCTGTAGCCTCGCTTAGGTCTGACCCTCAGTGATGAATTGTGTTTGCATCTAAATGAGGAGAAAAAATGTCAGATTTCCTGTTTCTGTTTCTGAAGTAGCTCTTACATGACCACTAATTCTACATTTTCCTGGGTTTTTGTACTGTTGCCATATTTGAAGGGAGGATAAGTAAATATCGACTCTAGTTGAGAGAAGAAACTTGTACCGTGTTCACATTTCTAACCTCTGAACTACGACTAAACAAATTATTTTTAATGGTGTAGTATATATTCTGCCACTGAGTTTTAAAGTGTAATATAATAATTACATTTTCATCTCCAGTGTTTATTTTTTCTAAATTAAAAATTTCTAAAGGTGTATTGTCTGATAGGAAGTTAATCAGCTTTTCTTCCTCTGAGAAAAGTCACTGGCTTAAAAACAAATACCCAATAATGGAAAGCATTTGCCCTTGCCTTTTTTTTTAAATTAGCTTGCTGAGGAGTTCTTATTCCAGCCCTCATATGGAGTTTATAAATATTTCTTTAAAAGTTTTTTTTTTTTTTTTTTAGTCAAAAAGTAAAACTCCTCCATAAGCTCCATAACCACTATTAACAATATATTCTTATGTTCATTTTGGCTTTTCCTCTGTAGGTACGCTACCATGTGTATCAGTTTTATGCATATAGTTTTGCAACTTTTTTCAAGTACAGAAAATATCCTAAAAGAGATGCAGGAGGGTTAATCTGAGAAGTAGCCTTAATTGCTGAAGGAATTCCTCTGGAGATGATGTTGTAGGACGAAGAGGGAGGGGGAAAGGGGAAGGGGCCTCTGAACTGACAAGACAGCTCCTTAAAGATGAAATATTCCTCCTAAAAAGGTTGAGGTAGTCACCAGACCAAGGGTACAAAATACTCTCAGCACTTTTAATGCTTTATGTAAATTACAAATAGGGAAAACAGCTTTCAGAAATCTATTTTAAACATTAGCTCAGCTAGTTTTTGTCAAAATTCAGTATTATGGGATCATGTCCTGTCGTCTTCACAAACGTGAGAAAGTCTTCAGGGCTCAAGCCCATGGTGGCAGCATTGGTCAGGGGATGAAAGTACACCTTTTCGTGTCCACCTTCCAGAAACATAGAATCCAGAACAAACGTCACATCTCCAGTGTCACAGAAGAGCGCCAGGGGGGTGGCACAGCCTGGGCCAACCTTCAGTGTTTCTCTCATGGCTGCTTCATCAGCAAACCTCAGATTCCCACGCCCAACACCCAGCTGTGTGGCAAGGTTGTTTAAATTGATTTGTCTGTCATGAAGAACCGTCACCAGCCAATAGCCTTTTTTCTTTTTGTCTTTAAGAAATAAGTTCTTACTATGTGCTCCTTTCAAATGCTGGACATGAGGCATCATTTCTTCAACTGTAAACACCTGTAAAATATCACATTATGAGAAATTTAAAAATACCGTCACGCACACATACACACAGCATACATACACATGTATTTCACTTGCTGGGTGAAAAGAGCAAGATTAGGGAGCACTCACTGCCTGGATTCACTGGTAGAAATGCATGCCCAGCCCACTACCAAACAGTTACAAGCTCTTGCCGTTTGAATTCCTTACCAGGATCCCAGGCAGCTCCTCTTAGGCCAGTTCTAATTCCAGAGCGCTGGCAAAGCTCACATACCTTAAAAGCTGGGTTTTTTTAATTTCAAATTTTGGGGACTGAAAGCTTACAGCAGCCCTAGACTCCCTACTCTTTAGCATTCCATTACATCCAGGCCATGTGACAACCTCCAGTCTACAAATGGACCCACAGTGAGGGTGAGAGAGCAAGGAACCTCAGAAAAGCCCACCATGTGTGCAGGTGAAGAAGCGGGGGACTGTGACTACCTGGGGTGGGGCGGGGGGAAGGTCAAGGAAAATGAATAGATGGAAAGTGAGGAAGTCTAACTTTCGGTGGGTTTCTCTCCTCTCTGGGTGGTGTGCAACAGCAAACGGCGAAGGGTTATAATCCAGAGTGATGGCATGAGATACTGAGTAACTGAGTCCTACGCCAACGCTGATGGTATTGTGTCAAAAATCTTAACCTGGCTTCCTCACTGGGAATGAAAAAAAGTCCTTATTTCCTGCCTTAATTTTAGCTAAAACCGGCTCAGGTGCATTCAGTCATTTCCATGTGAACCCCAGAGTAACTTCCCTTAAACAGCACAGCAACCAGCAAAAAATCTGACTGAATGCCTCTGGGAAATCCAAATTGAAGTGCTGGTCATATGTGTAGAAGGAGGACTCCTTTCAAGCTCTAGTCCAAATTAAAAATTATAAACAACATTTCAGCAATTATCTCAGGGATTAAAACAACTGTGATTTTGGTAAAACCAAATCCTTTAGGCCAATCATCTCTGTAAAATCAAGGTCATTTTTCCAGTTTCTTAAAAAATATTCCATGGAGCCTATCAAAGAGTAGCCAGAAAACCTTTGTCTACCACCGATAAATACTATCAAAATCCCTACGTGCTGATGCAATGTTTTACATTGAAAGTGGCTCCCATGTGCTCGGACAGACACCTGTGCGTCTCACTTGCAAAGAAAAGACATACTGGTTCAACTGAAAGAATGCTCTGAATAAAATTACAATGCTCTTCAACTCTGGGGAGACTCCAATATGTAGAGATAGGGCAGCTTTTTGTTCCTCAAAGATGAAAAAATACGAACAAAACTGAGTAACTGCAGTAGTCACAGCCTTGGAAAGTGTTCTGTCACCAAATACATAATGTATTAGAAGTCACAAGCTATTGATTCGGCAAAGGAAACCAGTAATTTCATACTGGTTTAAAAACCCATAGAAGGTGTAACTCATATTTACAGGAGCCGTGCAAATACAAAATCTGGGAGACGACAGGAAGGGGTGGGGACCTGTGGGTCTGCTGTTGCCAGGTTTTCCATTTTTTAAGAGAAGCTGAATATCCATATTTTTTTCAGTGTCAGCAGTTAATTCAAGTTTTTATTTTAAAACAGTCTGGGGTAATCCTATGTAGGCCGAACAAAACATACGTGGGCTTCATCTGGTTCTTCTGTTTGTAAGCTCTGTTGTAAGGACCACTTTAAAAGAATGTGTTGAAATGACAAGTGACTTCAAAGTATGTCATGACATGTGGCATGCCACACATCAACCTTCTGACAAGGGTAGTATTTGGGAAGCGTAATGCTGGCTCTTGACCAAACCAAACAGATTAAGACTCCTCCTTCTGGAGCCCTGGTGGCATAGTGGTTAACAGCTACGGTTGCTAACCAAAAGGTCGGCAGCCGCTCCTTGGGAACCCTGTGGGGCAGTTCTACTCTGTCCTATACGGTTGCTATGAGTCGGAATCGACTCGACGGCCAACAGGTTTGGTTTTGGTTTGTTTTATTCTCCCTTGGTACCAAGAAAAGGAAAAAAAAAGTTAGCACCCAGAGTATCTTCTCTAGGAAACTGCAGTAAACTCTCATATGCACAGTGGTCAATTCTATGTATCATGTAATGATCGAAATGCAAGTAATTTTATACACTCTGCAAGCTATCCTAGGAAATGCCTTAATATTTTAATAATTTGCATTTAGGTGGAGTTCTATAGTAAATAATATAAAATCTACAGTACTTTCTGCTGTTTCTACTGGAAAAACTCAAGACATTGGTACAACTGCTTTATTTTTTTTAGAAATTTAGTAATTATGATGAGGGCAAAAGAGTGGGAGGTAAAGACGCTGGTATCAGAAACAGCTAGGTTTAAATCCTAGATACAGAACAGCTGTATGACCTTGGGCAGAAGATGGAACACAAGCCTCAGTTTCTCTTACAGAAAATAAAAATAATGGCGTCTACTTAAAAATGTTGGATTGTATGAAAGAACACATAAAACACTTTCTATGCGCCTTGAATTATATGAAATAACAGAACTCATAAAACACTTTCCACATGCCTTGAATTATATGAAATAACAGAACACATAAAACACTTTCCATGCGCCTAGCACAGAAAGTTCACATGCATGACTACTATCACTAGCCTTTCCGTAAACTTTAGGTCCCTGTACAAATTCAAATTACACATTGATTCCACAAAGTATTTGCAAATCTACACATCAGTACACTAAACCATGTTAAAATATATCAAACTAACGAAAGTAAGGGATGTATGTACCTTTCTCTAACTACTTTTGGGGGTGGCGCTTGTTTTTGTCCAAGATGCAAGAGTAGACTAGGCTTTGGGATCAAACTGACCAGCGTGGCGAAATAGCAAACTCTATGAACCTCGGTGTCTTCATCAGTATGCTGTTTACGAAAAGTATAGTGCCTGATAACATTGTAGCTACTGAAAAGAACGGGTATATTCCTCCAATACCGTCAACCGCTTGGTAACTTACATTATCTAACAAAGCAGATAAACTGACCAACAGCCCCCGACCAGCTTAAGTTCTCTAGTTGCACTAGTTCTCGACATGCTATGTAATCAAATCATCAGGATAATATAAGTTTTCCCTCTACCATCATATCCCCAAATCGAGGGCCCTGTGCTGTCCCTGTCGGGTCCCTTTCGTACTCTGGAACCCGGGAAATGCCCCAGAATCGGCTTCACACGGTGCATTACCCCTGGGACACACAGTCTTAGTCGACCTCTCCCGACTGACATTGCGGGAGAGGTCCCCTTTAGCGGGACGCCTCACCTCGGGGTGCTCCACGACTTCTGTGCGGATGGCCAAGGCGGCCAGCCGCTGCTCCAGCTCCGCCCGCAACTCGGAGCCCGCCATGCTGCTGTCGTCGTGGCAGGCAGCGAGGACCCGGCGGGGGGCCGGGGCGCGGCTTCCCGCCGACGCGAGCGTGAGGCGGAAGTGTCCGGAAGGACTCGGTGATACCTTCCGGAAGCGGGGTTGTTCCATCCCCGCGTGCTTCGCTCTGCGTGTCCCCGTGCGTCGTCTAGGGAAGTGCGGACCCCGCTCCCGTTTTGGTAACCTTCCCTGACCATACTTCGGTATCGTAGATCCAGCATAGCCTTCCGTTTGAACAAAATAAAAGCACACTATGCATAACAACATGGCGTAGGGGAGAAAGGGAGCCACAGTGTTTAAGGCAAGATCCCAATTCTTCTACGATTTGTCCTAGGGGAAAATCACCACAAAGTTATAGTAAAGCAAAAAGTAAGATTTTATTTGACATATGTTCCAAGAGGCAAAAGTGAGAAATAGAAAAGCATGCTGCCAGAGCCATGTCTGCCAGAGTCCAAGGACTATGATAGAATCGTAAGTATATATTAACATCACAAGTGGGTAAAATCATTGAAAGCTTCACCTTTGCACAGATTGGCTAAAAACTGCTAAATCACCATGATTCTACATTTTGAATTGTCTTTCTTAATAATCATTGGTACAGGTTTCAGTAACGACCGTGAGGAGGGTGTACATTGGTCCAGCAAATCTTACTATTTACTAAATGGATTGACACAGTGGCTGCAAAAATGTACTCAAGAATAACAATGATTGTGAGGATGGTGCAGGACTGGGCAGTGTTTTGTTCTGTTGTACATAGGGTTGCTGTGAGTTGGAACCCACTCACCGGCACTTAAAAACAACAACAAATGCTAATAGAAAAAGATAAGAGTAGAAAATATATAGGTCTTTTGTGCTCTGTTTGTGATTTGTTACTGTGAAAGCTTCCTTAAAATATGTTTTCCAAGATTGTCCTAGCTACTGTTTTTATACCTCAAGGCCCAACTGATGTGTCCTTGTGAGTCCTTGTGAGTCCAGCTCCAGCTGGGTCACATTCTTTATCCTCAAGGACAGGGACTAATTACTTCAATTTTAATATCTTAGATCACTCCCTCCTTTTGATCAGAGATTGAAGGTAACACATTGACGACCAATACCTGGACTTAGGTGGGCTCCTAGATGGCAGCCACTGCAGGCTCTTTAAACTCACAGTGCTGGTTTCCACCGGATACCATCTGGTTCTTCACTAGGATCTGAAGTAAGTGCAATGTTCTCATCAATCACATTGCCAAAGTGAGTAGACTCAGTGTACATCAACATTTTAGCCCCAGGCTTTCTTTAGCCTTTTAAGTGTGTAGGACAATAGAAGATGTTTTATTATGCCTAATAGTATCAGGATGCAGACTGAGAATATTGCTATTCCTTGCAATAGTGATCTAGCCCATGTACTTATTCCTGATGGTAACCAACCAAATAAATCTGGTGTTTGGAGGGTGTTATAGTGCGTAAACAAGAAGCTTGCTGCCTAATTCTATGTATATGCTGTTCTACTTCTCTTGTGTTATTTATCCAAATGCAACAAGAGGTATTTGCTACAGCACAGACTCTACCTTCTTGGGCTAATAAAAAAATCTAAGGCTATTCTGTTATCTAATGTCACCTTGGCTAATGAGGTCAGAGATCACTGTTGTGCTCCATCCCATTAGTAACTTCATCAGCTATTTGTCCCATAGTGACTGATAATTTCTTAAAGATTTCTCTAATTCAACTATACCATAAGTAGGAGTTAAAGCTCTTAGAAATGACCAACCCAACCCTGAGTGTTGGACCAATGGGTTTTCTTCTGACTCTCGTTTTACAATGTGTAACAATTTAACATTACCTTTCCAGTATTTACTAGCATATTTACAATGACTATCTAAAGTTAATCCTAAAATTCTCAAAGTGCATTGCCCATGCATTCGCCAGGAATCTAAACAAGAGATTGCCCACGTAAATTCACTGTCAGTTGAAAAGTGATCATCTAAACTAGTATAGTTGGATCCACCACACACAAAAAAACATATATCTACAATGAGCCCAGAAAGTTTGTCTAGAGGAAACAGGAAGTATAGAAAAATGTACATGTGACAAACAAGTTTCCGTTAGAGAATACATGATAAGCAAAATAATATAGGATGGACCCTCTCCTGTTGGAGGTCTTTGGTTAATCTATTTAAAACTACTAAGCATTCATCCAGAGTCCTGGTGGTGCAGTGGTTAAGAGTTCAGCTGCCACACCCATGTTCACTGCAGCACTGTTCACAGTTGCAAAAAGATGGAAACAATCTAGGTGCCCATCAACAGATGAATGGATAAATAAATTATGATATATTCACACAGTGGAATACTCTGCAACAATAAAGAACAATGATGAATCTGTGGAGGGACGATGGAGGAATCTGGAAGGCATTATGCTGAGTGAATTTAGTCAGTTACAAAAGGAGAAATATTGTATAAGATCACTATTACAAGAACTCAAGAAAAGGTTTAAACACAGAAGAAAAAATTCTTTGATGGTTACGAGGGTGGGGAGGGAGGGAGAGGGTTATTCACTAACTAGATAGTAGACAAGAATTATCTTAGGTGAAGGGAAAGACAACACACTACAGGAGAAGAAAACACAACTGGACTAAACCAAAGCTAAAAAGTTTCCTGAACACAACCAAACACTTCGAGGGACAGAGTAGCAGGGGTGGAGATCTGGGGACCATGTTTTCAGGGGACATCTAGGTCAACCGGCATTACAAAAGTTTATTAAGAAAATGTTCTGCATCCTACTTTGATGAGTGGCATCTGGGGTCTTAAAAGCTAGCAAGTGGCCATCTAAGATGCATCAATTGGTCCCAGCCACCTGGAGTAAAGGAGAATGAAGAACACCAAAGTCATGAGGAAAGTATTAGCCCAAGAGACAGAAAGGGCCACATAAACCAGAGACTGCATCAGCCTGAGACCAGAAGAACTAGATGTTGCCCGGCTACCACCAGTGACTGCCCTGACAGGGAACATAACAGTCCCTGATGGAACAGGAGAAAAGTGGGGTGCAGAACTAAAATTCTAGTAAAAAGACCAGACTTAATGGTCTGAGACTGCAGGAACCCCAGAAAGCATGGCCGCTGGACTCTCTCTCAACCCAGAACTAAAACCATTCCTGAGGCCAGCTCTTCAGACAAAGATTAGACTGGACTATGGGACATGAAATGATACTTGTGAAGAGGGTGCTTCTTAGCTCAAGTAGATACACGAGACTAAATGGGGTCTCCTGTCCAGAGGTTAGATGAGAAGGTAGAGAGGGTCAGGAACTGGTTGAGTGGACACGGGAAATCGGGTGGAAAGGAGGAATGTGCTGTCACAGTACAGGGAGATCAATTACGGTCACATAATAATGTATGTATTATTTTTATGAGAGACTAACTTTAATTGTAAACTTACACTTAAAAGTACAACAATAAAATAAAAAGAGTTCAGCTGCCAAACAAAAGGTCAGCAGTTCTAATCTACCAGCCACTCCTTAGAAACTCTATGGGGCAGTTCTACTCTGTCCTATAGGGTCACTGTAAGTTGGAATCAACTTGACAGCAACGGACTTGGTTTATGTGATCTTTCAGAGGCAGATCACCAGGACTTTCTTCCAGGTTGCCTCTCTGGGTGGGTTTAAACTGCAAACGTTTAGTAGACCAGGGCTTAACCGATGCTGGCCAGGAACACCAGACTGAGTATGTTGTTGTTGTGTGCCGTGAAGTAGGTTCTGATCATAGCGACCCTCTAGGACAGAGGAGAATGGCCCCATTGTTTTTCCATCTTTATGGGAGCAGATGGCCAGGGTTTTAGCTCCTGTGGAGCTGCTGGTGGGTTCCAACTGCCAACCTTTGAATTAGCAGCTGAGCTCTTAACCACTGAGCCTCCAGGGCTTCTTCGGACTGAATGTAACCAAAAACAAAACCAAACCCACTTCTGTGGAGTCCATTCTGATTCACAGTGACCTTATAGCACAGAGTAGAACTGCCCCCATAGGATTTCCAAGGCTGTAAATCTTTACGGAAGCCGACTGCCACATCTTTCTCCCATGGAGCGGCTGGTGAGTTCCAACCGCCTACCACTGAGTCCTTTAACCACTGCGCCACCAGGCCTCAAACTGAATATACCCAAACCAAACAAACCCATCGCCACGGGGTCAATTCCGACTCATGGTGACTCTACAGGACAAGGCAGAACTGCCCCGTAGGGTTTCCAAGGAGCCGCTAGTAGATCCCAGCTGCCGACCTTTTGGTTAGCAGCTTGAGCTCTTAACCACTGCGCAGCACCAGGCCTCCAAATATAGTTACCTACAAATTAAAATATAGAATGGGTGAGCATATTCAATTTTATGGCTTGGGAAAATAGTGGTTTCATACTTTATAAACAAAAACCATGTAGTAGGTCACCTGGGTAAGCTACAGTAATATGTTTCCTTCTCTTTTTTTCACGTTGAACAGTCATTTAAAATTGCAAGCTCACAGGGGAGCTTTACTTGGAATAAGCAACTGTTTACATACGCTGCTGCTGAGAGCCCCAGGCTGTGCGGTAAACACCCGGTGAGTTCCATGAGCCTGCTGACCTGCACAGGGTTGAGCTCACTGCCTGCCATTCAGGAACCCGCAGGCGAGCAAGGGCTGCTCTGAACTGTTCCTCAGGCCTGTCTGAACTCTGTGGACGTAGTTAACCCCAGACCTTTAGATTCACGAATGGAGCCTTACATTCAGCATTATTACTCGGTCTGCACGCAGTTCTCACAGCGTCCCAGGTAGCTACTATTGTTACCATAATGCAGATTCGGGACCTGAGGCACAGAGTTTCGCTATTGTCCCCAAATTCACAGAGCGGGTAATGATAACGCTGGGATTGGAATCCAACCAGTCGGAAGCTACAACCCCAACTGCTTCCCACACGAGATGACTTTTGAAAGAAAAGGCTCCTCCCACAGTACTAACTGGTTCCATCGCCACGTTTCCTTGCATTTTTCCCCCTTCTCGTTAGGTACACTTCTCTTTTAAGTACATTTCATTTCTCCCACATTTCCCCGTTTAACTTTCACTCGAGTGCAGGCACCAAGCCCTCTAACAGTCCCAGGGTAGTAGTAGCTTATTTGCAGAGAAGGGACATGCAGAAACGGTTAACGACACGCCGCTGAGTATGGGAGGACGCCACAGGTTTCCCAGCATCTATTCCACGGGACGCCCGCCCTGACACCCACACTCAGTCTCAGCTCCGGCTGCGATGATAACGACAGAGGCGGGACTTGTGAATTCGGGGAAGAGACAGTTCCGGTCAGAGCCGGAAGCTCGACGGGGACCGTTTGGGGGACGGACTGGCGAGCCGACAGTTGTCCGGAAGGTGATCTCTGCCCGGCCTCGGATTTGACACGCCTGGGGGCGTTATGTAGGAGCTAAGTGAGTAGGGTCCCTAGTTAGGGTCGTCCTGGGTGGCGTGCATTGTTTGGCTGAAGTGTCCGTGGCACGGATCTCATGAATGCATAGACATCCCGCATTCGAAAGCCTTTCCACGATGCATTTAACCCCTGCCGTGGCCCTCCGGGGGCGCTCAGGAAAGCGTGCGCCTTGCCCCGAAGCGGCCGGCCGCCCCCTCTGCCCGCGTGCCGCGGCTTGCGGCTCCCGAGGGCCGGCCCCCGCGCCGGGCGCTGTGCGCTCGGGGTGCAGGCGGAGCCAGCCCGGACCGTGGTGTTTTCCACACTGCCTTCTTTTTACCTCTCAGACAAGTCCTAAAGCTTCCAACGCTTCTCTTCAGACATGTCCACTAACGCAGCGCGTATTTCCAACATCCTTTTCTGCCAGTTCCTTGGCAAGAATATCCTAGCGGCGAAAGGACACCGAACCGGGCGTCAGAAAGCCTGGGTTCAGGTGCTGAGCGCCGTTGACTGGCGGTATGGCATTGGAGAAGCCTTTCTGACCTCTCTGGACTCCACTTTCTCTTTCTGTAAGGTGAGGGGCTTGGAACAAATAACAACTAAGCCCGTTTCCAGTTTTGACATTTGAGTTGTCCCCCGTGTGTCTCATTTCAGCCTCAACTATCTATTTGTGCTTAGGTGAATCTTCCTGTGGGGTCCTTCCTCCCTCTCCACTAATGAGAAGAAAAAAATGCCGTCCAGTGGATTCCGACTCATAGCGACCCGTAACTAATCAATAGCCTTGTTAAATCTAGTTTCAGACTAAATTTTAAAAGAATTTTCTGAGGAGTCTTGTGCTTCCTGAGCACTCTTAGTCCAGGGACACGTGCCTCACTAAGATATTTTTATGTGCCTTTCTTGAGGTGTTCAATGTGTGTAAATGCTGTTACTATTGAATGCATTTCTGAATCTTTATTTTTTTTTTATTGTGCTTCAGAAGAAAGTTTACAGCTCAAGTTAATTTCTCTTACAAAAATTTATATGCATATTGTTATCTGACCCTAGTTGCAATCCCTATAATGTGACAGCACACGCCCCCTTTCTACCCCGAGTTTTCCTGTCCATTCAACCAGCTCCTGTCCCTTTCTGCCTTCTCATCCCGCCTCCGGACAGGAGCTGCCCATTTAGTCTCGTGTATCTGCTTGAACTAAGAAGCACACTCTTCACGAGTATCATTTATGTTTTATAGTCCAGTCTAATCTTTCTCTGAAGAACTGGCTTTGAGAATGGTTTTAGTTCTGGGTTAACAGAGTCGGGGGGCCATGTCGTCTGGGGTTCCTCCAGTCTCAGACCATTAAGTCTGGTCTTTTTACTAGAATGTGAGTTCTGCACCCCACTTTTCTCCTGCTCCATCAGGGACTCTGTTGTGTTCCCTATCAGGGCGGTCATTGGTGGTAGCCGGGCACCATCTAGTTCTTCCGGTCTCAGGCTGGTGGAGTCTCTGATTTATGTGGCCCTTTTGCCCTTGTGCCCTTCCTTATCCTTTGCGATGGATTTTACTTTAAAGTCTGTTTTGTCAGAGGTTAATATGCCACTCCTGCTCTTTTTTGAGTGTTGTTTGCTTGATATATTTTTTCCTATCTTTTGAGTTTTAGTTTGCGTCTTTAAGTCTAAGGTGTGTCTCTTGTAAGCAGCATATAGACGGATCGTGTTTTTTAATCCATTCTGCCACTCTCTGTCTCTTTATTAGTGCATTTAGTCCATTTACATTCAGCATAATTGATAGGTATGACTTTAGTGCTGTTATTTTGATGTCTTCTCTTTGTGTGTGATGTTGGCATTTTCTTTGTTCCACTTAATTTTCTGTGCTCAGTCGTTTTTCTTTATGTATTTTCATCTTTTTCATTGTCGTTGATTTTGTATTTGCTGAGTCTTTATGTTTTTATTGTTTTTTATTTTGATGTGTAGAATTGTTAGTTTCCTTTGTGTTTGTCTTAATATTTACCTCTGTTTTTCTAAGTTTAAACCAGTCTTTTATTTCTTGATACTACCTTGACTTCCTCTCCATGTGAAAGTTCTATGACTACATTTTTTAGTCCCTCTTTTTTGTTTTAACGTTGTTGTCTTTTACATATTGACATCTCTGTTTCCCTATTTTCAGTGTTTTAACTTTGATTTATTTTTGTGACTTTCCTATCTGGGTTGATATTTGGTTGCTCTGTCCTGTGTTCTAGTCTTGGGTTGTTATCTGATGTTAGTGATTTTCTAATCGGAGAATTCCCTTTAGTATTTCTTGTAATTTTGGTTTGGTTTTTACAGATTCTCTTATCTTCTCTTTATCTGGAGATGCCCTAATTTCACTGTCATATTTCAGAGACAGTTTTGCTGGATATATAATTCTTGGCTGGCAATTTTTTTCCTTCAAGGCTTTATATATGTCATCCCATTGCCTTCTTGCCTGCATGGTTTCTGCTGAGTAGTCAGAGTTTAGTCTTATTGAGTCTCCTTTGTAGATGACTTTTCATTTATCCCTAGCTGCTTTTAAAGTTCTCCGTTTATCTTCGGTTTTGACAAGTTTGATTATAATATGTCTGTCATGGATTGAATTGTGTCACCCAAAAATATGTGTCAACTTGGTTCAACCATGATTCCAAGTATTGTGTGGTTGTCCTCCATTTTGTGATTTTACTACGTGCTATAAATCCTAATCTCTGCCTGTGGTTAAAGAGGATTAGGGTAGGACGTACCACCATTGCTCAGGTCACATCTCTGATCCAGTGTAAAGGGAGTTTCCCTGGTGTGTGGCCTGCGCCACCTTTTATCTTACGAGAGATAAAAGGAAAGGGAAGCAAGCAGAGAGTTGGGGACCTCATACCACCAAGAAAGCAGTGCTGGGAGCAGAGCATATCCTTTGGACCCGGGGTTCTGACAGGGAAAAGCTCCTAGACCAGGGGAAAATTGATGACAAGGACCTTCCCCCAGAGCTGACAGAGACAGAAAGCCTTACTCTGGAGCTGATGCCCTGAATTTGGACTTCTAGCCTACTAGACTGTGAGAAAATAAATTTCTCTTTGTTAAAGCCATCCACTTGTGGTATTTCTGTTATAGCAGTGCTAGATGACTAAGATAATGTCTTAGTGACTTTCTTTTGGGATCTACCCTGTATGGGGTTTGTTGAGTTCTTGGATAGATATCTTCTCATCTTTCACGATTTCAAGGAAGTTTTCTGACAACAAATCTTCAAAAATTCTATTTTCTGTTATCCCCCCCTGTTCTGGTATCCAATCACTTGTAGGTTTTTCCTCTTGATAGAGTCCCACCTAATTCCTAGGATTTAGTCATTTTTTAAAATTGTTTTATCTGATTTTTTTTCAGATAAATTGGTGTCAAGTGCATTATCTTCACCCTCACTAATTCTGACTTCCATTGCCTCAGTTCTGCTCCTATGACTTTCTGTTGAGTTGTCTAATTCTGAAATTGTATTGTTAATCTTTTGGATTTCTGTTTGCTATCTCTATGGATTCTTGCAGCCTGTTAAATTTGTCATTATGCTCTTGTATAACCTTCTTAAGTTCCTCTGTTGCTTTGTCTATGTGTTCCTTGACTTGGTCTCCATTTTGCCTGATCTCCTTCCTGGTCTCTTGGAAAGCTCTGTGTATTAATCTTTTGAATTCTACCTCCGATAACTCCAAGACCTTCTCTTACTCTGGGAGGTTTCTTTGTTCTTTGTTTTGGTCACTTGCTGAAGCCATCATGGTCTGCCTTTTTATGTGATTTGATATTGACCGTTGTCTCTGAGCCATCAATAAGTTATTATGTTTATTTATTTTATGTTTGCTTACTGTGTCTTAGCTTCTTGTTTTGTTTTGATATGCCCAAATAGGCTGGTCGTATGAGCTACTATGATTATTGGTGCCTTTGAAGCTCTCCCGTCTTGTCACCAGGTGGTTAGAGCTATTACTAGGTATGTGAGCCCAGGAGTCCATTTACTTTTCTTGTGTGGATTCAGCTCAGGTGTCTAGGTTGTCATCACTAAGTGTGTGGTACAGGCTCTTACCTACAGTACTAGACAGGCGGGGCTACGTAGGGGTGATTGGAGTAGGCATGGGTATCTGGCTGCAGTAGGGGGTTATGTGCTGAGCAAGGTAGGGGGCTGACAGCTGCCACTGAGTGTCTGGGTGAAAGGTGTATCCCTGTTCCCTAGAGCATGTAGATGGGTGGGTTTTGCAGCCAGACTTTGAGCACCCAATGCTGTTGGCTGTAAGGACTGGGAGGCACCACTTCTCGGACCCCTGTCGTGGGTGGCTAGGTGGAGTGGGTGGGGCCACCAGTCTTCAAGCCCCTGATGTGGGTAGGTGAGGACCTTGCTTAATGGGCAGGGCGGTGTCAAAAGTCACAAATCTGCCACTCCCCCTTAGCTGTTGCAGTTGAAAATAGGCTTCAGGTATATGCCCTGTTGTACTGTGCTAATGAGGGCCTATGCTGTTGAAATGGGCCCACACAGGTCTATGCAGAGGTGAAAGGCATTCAGAGTCAGTGGGCCCCTTATGCCTGTGCCTGGGCAAAGGGGCTGTGCCTGCCCTGCGTTCCCATCTTAGGGGAGCTGGCAGATTATTTTTTTCCTGTTTGTTAATTTGTTCCTTCTCCAAAGCCGGGAGAATGGCTTGAGGCATGCGATGGGTCCCACTTCCAGCCCAGTCGCTGAAACTGGACTGGACCTGAGCAGAGCAGGGAAGGGGTGGGTAAATGGGAGAGAGGTACATCCCAGAGGGGGAAAGGTTTTTTTGATCCCTTTAGGCACTTGCACTTAACTTTCACAGATTCATCGCCTCTTCTCCCTGGTTCCTGAAGCTTGAGCTGACTCTCCACTGCTTGGTTTCTCCTAGTGTGGAGGACACATCCCAAGTGCTACTGCTTGCCTCAGCCCGCACGTACTGGCTGATCCAGGCTGCAGGGTGCCAGCCCGGTCAGATATGGCAAATCCTTTCTGCTTCTGAACTGTCTCTCCCTCTCCCTGATGCTTAGTCTGACTCCTCAACTTTGCCTTTGATGTTCAGGGCCCCTAGATTGTCATATAGAATTGATTCACTTGTTTTCTCGGGTCTTTGTTGTAAGGGGGACCACAGGAAGCATCTGACTATTCTGCCATCTTGTTGCCGCCTCCGCATTTCTAAATCTTAATCAGTTATTCTACCACAATTAACAGAAACTCAGTGCCCCCTAAGCAATGACTCCTCCTTTATTACCCCCCACCCCCAACCACTAATAAGCTTTGGTCTCTATACATTTGCCTTTTTCATATAAGTGACATCACACAGCATTTGTCCTTCTGTGACTGATTTGTTTCACTCAGCATATTTTCAAGGTTCATCCATGTTGTAGCATGTATCAGGATGTCATTTCTCTTTATAGCTGAGTAATATTCCGTTGTGTGTATGTATACCCCATTTGTTCATCCATTCATCTGTTGATGGACACTTAGTCTATTTTCACCTTTTGGTGACTGTGACTAGTGTTGCAGTGAATGTTGGTGTACAGGTTTCTGTTTGCGTTCCTGCTTTCAGTTCTTTGGAGTATGTACCTAGCATTGGGATTGCTGGGTCATAAGGTAGTTCTGTATTTAGCTTTTTGAGGAGTTGCCAAACTGTTTTTCACAGTGGCTGTACCATTTTGTGGAAACCCTGGTGGTGTAGTGGTTAAGAGGTGTGGCTGCTAACCAAAAGGTCAGCAATTCAAATCTACCAGGTGCTCCTTGGAAACCCTATGGGCCGGTTCTACTCTGTCTTATGGGATCTCTGTGAGTCGAAATCGACTCGACAGCAACAGCTGCAGGTACAATTTTGCATTCCCACCAGTAATGGATGAGAGTTCCAGTTTCTCTACATCCTTGATGACACCTGTTATTATTTTTTAAAGATAGCCATTCTAGTGGCAGTGAGGTGGTTTCGCATTGTAGTTTTGATTTGTGTCTCACTAACAGCTAATGAGAGGTCCTTGGGTGGTGCAGTTTGTGCTTGACTGCTAACCTAAGGGTTGGCAATTCAGACCCACCCATCGGTGCTACGGAAGAAAGGTCTGGTGATCTGCTTCTGTAAATATTACAGCCAAGAAAACCCTATGGAGAAGTTCTACCCTGTAACACATGAGGTTGCCATGAGTCGGAATTGACTGGATGACCGCAGGTTTGGGTTTGCCTTAATGGCTAATGATGTTGAGCATTTTTTCATGTGCTTGTTGGCCATTTTTGCCCATTTTTTGATTGAGTTGTTTGTCTTTTTGTTGTTAAGTTTTAGGCATTCTTTATATATTCTGGATAATAAAACTTTATCAGGTATAGTTCCCAAAAGTTTTCTCCCAATCTGTAGTTTGTCTCTTTGTTGATAAAGTCCTTTGATGAACAAAAGTTTTTAATTTTCATGAGGTCCCATTTATTTATTTTGTCTTTTGTTGCTCATGCTTTTGATGTCATATCTAAGACTCCATTGTTAAAAACTAGGTCTTGAAGCAACATCTCTGTGTTTTCACTAAGAGTTTTAATTCTCACATTTAGGTTCTTGATACATTTTGAATTAGTTTTTGCATATGGCATGAGGTATGGATCCTGTGTCATTCTTTTGCATGTGGAAATCGAGTTTTCACAGCACCATGTATTAAAGAGACTCTTCTTTCCCCATTGAGTGAACTTAGCATCCTTGTCAAAAATCAATTGACCATAGACGTATGGGTTTATTTCTGGACTCTCAATTATATCCCATTGGTTTATATGTCTATCATTTTACCATCACCAAGCTGTTTTGATTACTGTAGGTTTATAGTGTGTTTTGAAACCATGAAGTATGTCCTTCTACTTTATTCTTCTTTTTAAAGATTGCTTTGGCTATTTGGGGCCCCTTGCCATTCCATATAGATTTGAGGATTTCCATTTCTGCAAAGAAGGCTGTTGGAGTTTTGATGAGGATTGCACTGAATTTATAGAATGCTTTGGGTAGTATTGACATCTTACCAGTATTAAACCTTCCAAACCATGAACACGGAATGCCCTTCCATTTATTTAGGTTTTCTTAATTTTTTTCAGCAATGTTTTGTAGTTTTCAATGTACAAGTCTTTTACTTTCCTGGTTAAATTTATTCCTAGGTACTTTATTCTTTTAGATGCTATATGAAAGAGTTTTAAAATAGCTGATAATAAAGTACATACTTTATCTTATTTTCTTCTCATAGTCTTGTAGCAGAAAGGACAAACATTCAAATACTTTTACTTTCTTTTTTGCAGAGATCAGAAAAATGAGCTCCATAGGAAATAAGTGACTCACTCGATGGAGATAACACAAGCAGGCGTATGTCAGAGTGGGGACTCCAACCAGAGTCCTTTTGTGCCTAGTCAGGTACTTTCTCCCCTATTCTGTGGCTATCTAGTTATCTTTTCTTCGTTTTTATCTTATTTTTTTAAATATTCAGTATGCTGTATTTACTATTTCAAAACCAAAAAAACCCAAACTCATTGCTGTTAAGTGGATTCTGACTCATAACGACCCTATAGAACAGAGAAGAATTGACCAATAGGATTTCAAAGTCTGTGAGTCTTTACGGCAGCAGACTGCCACATCCTTCTCCCGCAGAGCAGCTGTTGGGTTTGAACCACCACCCTTTGAGTTAGCAGCCTTCTGCTTAACGACAGTGTCACCAGGGCGCCTCATTTACTCTTCTGACGTGGTAATTTACTATGTCGGGAATAAAATGCGTTTTGGAAAGATGGGTTAATTTAATGTTTAGTTATCCAGGAAAGCTCCCTTGTTCAGTTTCCATTTCTTTGGGCACATAAAATAACTGTTATTTCTGAACAATAACAAAATGCCTAGCACAAAAAACTATATACATATTGTAGAAATACCACATTATGAGATAAGTTAAAAAAAAATTAAGACAATGTAAATAGTCAAGTACTTTGTTCACGATAGCTTTACTTGGATTAATCACTTTGAAGTAGTCCGTAATTTTGATTCTTTTCTTTTTTTTTTTGTAATTTTGAAAAAATAATGGTTAATAATAAAAAACAATAAAGTTCTAAAGCAAAATATAGTTTAATTTCATTTTGGTGAGTAAAATAGATATAAGCATAAAGAAAAGGCTTGAAATGATACATACTAAATGTTAAGTGAAGTTATTTCTTTATTTTTAACTGGTAAAAAATGTCTGCCTTGAGCATTATACTTTTGTGTGTGTGTGTGTGTGTTCTAAATGAAAGTTTACAGTTCAAGTTAGTTTCTCATACAAAACTTTATACACACACTGCTACGTGACCCTAGTTGCACTCCCCATACTGTGACAGCACACTCCTTTCCATCCCGGATTTCCTGTGTTCATTCAAGCAGCTCCTATCCCTCTCTGCCTTCTCATCTCGCCTCCGGACGGGAGCAGCCCATTTAGTCTCATGTATCAACCTGAGCTAAGAAGCACAGCCTTCACGAGTGTCGCTTTATGTCCCATAGTCCAGTCTAATTTTTGTCTGAAGAGTTGACTCCGGAATGGTTTCGGTTTTGGGCTAACAGAGTCCGGGGGCCATGTCTTCCCGGGTCCCTAAGTGAGATTCTTTCTGAGTGGTGAGTAGAAGAAAGTTTATATTGAAGATTCCAAAGGCTATATCCATTATTTTGAAATGTACTCTCTACTGAAAATAAAATCTCTTAAAGACTCTATAATTTACTGAAAGATCATACATATTGCAATGAAAATGCTACCCTAGGTTGTGATCAGTGATTGTAGCTGGAGTGCCCAAGAATCGTTATACTGGAAGACTTTAAAGACAGTGAATTCTTTCAAAGAAAGGACTCTGGCTTATTAAATTTTGAATCAGAACGTAAAGCACAATGCCTGGCATATGGGGCTTAGGAAATGTTTGCTGAGGGTTAAACGTGTGCTTCTCACATTATTTTAGTTGCTCCTGCCCTTGAGAACTGGACAGCAAAGCCATAGAAATGCAGTCCTGACAACTGAGGAAATAGGGGATGCAGGGAGGACAAGCCGTACATTATTGTTGAGTTCTGTTACAGCTTTCTTTCAATAACGTTTTATTCCAAGAGCAGTATTCAAAAGGCATTATTCAGTACAGATTCGTTTGATGCCTTTTACCCATTGTCAAATGTGTTTTGAGCAAGGAACAGGTTGGGGAGAAGAAAAGTGTTGAAGGTTGAAAGTCATTCCAGGTAGAGGGAACATATGCAAAGGTTGATGAATGAGATGACAAACCATTGGAGATTACATAGCAAAAGCTTGGGTAGTAAGAGTAGGGGGAAGTAAGCGTGGTAGGAGATGAAATGAGAGGTTAGCAGAGGGCGTATAATGAATCTTTATCTGCTGCGCTATGGAGCTGTACCTTATCCTGGGGATAATGGGAACCCACTGGGGGTATTAAGCAGAGAGGTGATGAGTTCAAATTTGCGTTTTAGAAAGATCACGCTAATTGTGCTTTGGTTAGTTGATGTTTTAAGAGTGAAAAAAGGACTCTTTGTAAACCTTACCATTGCACTTCAGTTCTATCATAGTAGTGACATTAATGATAGATAATAATAGCTATTATCTCACATACTTTGGACATGTTATCAGGAGAGATCAGTCTCTGGAGAAGGACATCATGCTTGGTAAAATTGAGGGTCAGCGAAAAAGAGGAAGACCCTCAACAAGATGGGTTGACACAGTGGCTGCAACAGTGGGCTCAAGCACAGCAATGATTGTGAGGATGGCGCAGGACCAGGCAGTGTTTAGTTCTGTTGTACGTAGGATTACTGTTAGTTGGAACCGACTTGATGGCACCTAACAACAAACAGCAACAGAGAGTACTTCGCCTGGAATCCCACTGCCAGCTAGACTGTGAGCTCTTTCAGGGCAGGGACCCCATTTTACTCATTGTTATCACTTTAGCACCTGGCACCGTGCTTTGCATGTGGTAGATGTCCAACTGACATTTGTTAACTTGATTTGAAAATTAACCAAAGTAATTATTTTAAAAGTGGTTTTTAACAGGAGAGACATGTACCGGAAGATGCTAAAGTTGAAGAGCCTGCTGCGCCTCCACACTGTTTGCAGGCAGCTGCACGGCCTGGCCGCAGGAAGAACATTAGTGCAGCAGAGGCATGTGTCCTCATCTGGTTACCCCGCGTGGATGGCGCCGCTGCACACCCGGCCCTGGCAAACCGACGCGCTCATCCGGGCTGCTTTATCTCAGCGTAGGCCTCTAGTAACAAAGAAGGTAAGTGTGGATTTCCAGTAGTTACTGGATTTTTTGGTCTGAGGTGAAAGTGTCTAGAAGCTGTGAGTAGGAACCCACTTTGAGTATTTTGTTATTTAAGGAATCTTTATTCTTTCATGCTGTACTCCAGGCAGTTGATCTTTGTTAGAAAGAGAGTTTCTGGTTAGTTGGTCATGCTGATGCATTTGATTCCTTGGATATCCATGTGTAAGCAGTGAATTAAGGATGCAAGTTTTTTATTTTAGTCTTAAGATGTAACTACTTAAGGGAGTGTTATTGTTAGAACTAGGAGCCGTGGTTGTGGTGGATATTCCAGAATAAATTTGAAGTTGCCACTTCGACTGTTTCCTTCTTTTTTCTTTGTGTGTTGTGCCATGATTTGTCACAGGAGGGAAGACCGTGGAAATCTCAGTTATCTTTGACAAAATCTAAAAAGGAGGTGGAGGTGTGGATTGGAATGACTGCTGAGGAGCTGGCCAGGGCAATGGGAAAAGACCTAGGTAAGGCAGATGGTTAAACAGGGAAGACCTGGTATTTTATTTGCTGTGAAATTGAAACATTCAGGGATGAAAACTGATGGTTTAAAAAAATGTGAAGTCATTCCAGTATTTTTTACTCTACGTCACAAACCTTAATTAATTTCTTGACTCTTTAACAAATATAGGTCTCCAAGATTTTGCTTTTAATAGAACTGGAAAAGATTTTTTTAATCTGAATTAACCTTTCTTTCTCAGAAATTTTGTGGGCCCTTGGTATAAATGCAAAGAAAATTTTTGAACTGAGGGACTAGGCTTAGACTCATTTCTCCCCCTTTGTTTTTCTGTAGTTTTCTGATGTCTTTTTGCACTCATTTTGACAGTATCTGTAAGCTAGCAGATAAATATTTGTAATAATAACTATAACTTTTAATTAAACTATTTTTACTGGTAAATGGAGAGCATCATTGTAATTGTTTTTTTCTTTCATTGCTCCATTGATGTATTTATTACCAATTTAGGATTGCTGGAACAAAATTTGAATTTTCTTCATAATCTGACATTAAAATTCACTATAGGAAAAATAGCCTATTACTGAAACAAAGTAAAGTGACAAAGGAAGCAGGCTCTTGGAAGAAAAGAAAGAATTAATAATAACAACTCACATTTTTTGAGCTGTTAATATCTACCAGTACTTTATGTTTTAACACATGTAGTCCTCGTAACACCCTAGTGGTAAGTATGATTAGCATCCCTGTTTATAGATCAAGTAACTGAGACATAGAGAGGTAAAATAATTGCTCACGATTTCACAGCTAGTATGTGGTGGAGCTAAGATTTGAACGCACGGAGGCTGGCTACAGAGCCAAGCTCTTATTCATAGACCAAGTTATCTCCCAACAATTGCTATTTCATAAATTACAGCAGAGCCAAAATTGTAATTAGTAGTCAGGTTACCAAATAGTTAGATAAGCTGAACTGAGATGGATATATATGTCCTTCCTGAAAGTATTACTACTATTAGTGTATGTACATCCTCACAAAGAATAGAAAATTAGCACATTGTCTTGCATTTTTAAAACTTTGCAGCTGGATTATATTAGTATTTCATAACTAGAACAGTTTTAAGAGAATAAACAGATTTGGACATGTCATTGAGAATTTTGCCAAGGAAAATATATTAATATGATTTTGTAAATAATATTAATAATCGGCTTGATTTTTAAAACTTTTTATTATTGGCAATAGCAATTTTCAAACATACGAAAGTAGAGAGAATAGAATAGTAAGCTGAAATGTACCCACAATCCAGTGACAACAATTTTAATATTTAATCCAAAATACTTCAGTATGTATCTCTAAAAGATGTGGATTTTTTTTTTTTTAAACGTAACAAAACAACAACAGCAAAAAAACCCCAAACATATACCCACATTATTTCCTTAATATCACCAAGTAAGTAGACTAATTAAAATGTAAATTTAGTCTCATGGAACAGTGCTCTAAACCCAAAACTGATTTGCTGTGATTTAAATAAAGGTTATCTATTTGAAGCTTATTTAACCCATTCAAATCTCGTCTGAGTTAAAGGTAGCTTTCATAAGATCATTCCTTTTAACTGCCGTATTAGCAAGGTGAGCACTGTTTCTTCTTCCCCTGGGTCGGTTAAGATCATTTGATATAATATTTTTGTTTGAAATGTTTGAGCACTTTTCTGCATGTAAATATTTGTTCAAGTGTTGGGTAAAGATCAAATAGTATGTCAATACCGTATGCATTTAATATAGAAGGGAAAAGATTATCTCATTGTGTAAGCTACCTCTCAGAACTTTAGGATGGATGGCATATTGGAAAACTGTAGGAACTGGATCATTAGGGATGTGTAGTTAGTATTAGAAACAGCACAGCATTGTACTCAGTATAATTTTCATGTTTTGAAAGAGTTTTATCATTTCCTGAAAGCATATCCACATAGAAAATGTGGGTTGAATCATTTTTAAAATGTTTTCTTTTGGGTATGGATGTGGGATATATAGAAGTGGATCTTTGGCGTTATTATGGAATAGGGTCAGTGGTGTGCTGGGGCTGGCTCACACCAGCCCATTGTTAAATTTTAAGGAATTTTCTGTTAAACATAGCCACTATTAAAAATTAAATTATTTTTTTTATGAGAGACTAACTTGAACTGTAAACTTTCACTTAAAGCACAATAAAAAAAATTAAATAAAAATCAAAGGAAAAAAGTAAAAAAAAAAATTATAAAGAATGTAATAAATATTAATCAAAACTCTTCATTTCCTAATTATTTTCTTGCATTTTACTATTAGCTATGCTCTTGAGTTTGTTTTTCCTATTTTATCTCTGGAGACATGGTAGCACAGTGGTTGAGAGCTTGGCTGCTAACCAAAAGGTTGGCAGTTCAAATCCACCAGCCACTCCCTGGAAACCCTATGAGGCAGTTCTGCTGTCTCTCATAGGGTCGCTATGAGTTGGAATCGACTCAGTGGCAATGGGTTAAATAGACACATAGACAAATAAATAAATTGCGTGTATGTGTGTATTGAGAGATACATACTGTATTTTTATATCACATATACATATTTGCATATACATGAGATGTAACTACATGTTTTCAAAGAAATAAACTGATACGAAACTGTACTCAGTACTAAATGTATACACCATGCATGGTTCATTAATTGCCTCTGAGTTATCCTTATTTTCAAATATTTATGAATATGCAGAAATGTCAGTTGATATAAATGCGTCATATTTTAAAGTTTTTTTCTTTCCAGCTTCTTTGTGATCTGCTAATATTAGAGAAACAGTCTATATAGTTACTCCATTCATTATATATACTGTTTATATAGACATTAACACAGGTCACTTTCTTGAGCGTTTAATTCATGATCTTATAAGGTTTTATTTTATTCCAACCAGATTGTGTACATGAAGCTTTACTGAATACTGATATCAACATAAATTCACTAGAAGAAAACCCACAGTTAGAGGAAGTCTGCATCAAAGAAGTGATAAAGAAGGCAGGGATGAAGTTAAAATGGAGCAAATTAAAACAGGACAAAGTCAGAGCAAATAAAGATGCAGTTAGAAGGTAAAGCTTAACCATATGTATCGGGGAGACCACGTAATTTTATTCATACTTTTTAATGGAAAGTTTCCCTTGTAATTAAAGTTTCTTCTGTAATTAAGATAATGTGTGAACATAGTAAGTTCAACCCTTCTTTAAAGCACTTAAAGCATCAGAAAGTATTCAGGTCATTATAATACTGTAAGGGTCATTTTTCTTAGTTTGCTGAGTGTGTATATTGATCGTGAGATTTAAAACGTGATTCAGTTCTGCTTGTTGCCGTGAAGATGCTGGCTGCCTATGGTCTGTCATCATATGTTCTGTCACACATCACATCTAATCAAAGCTGAACGTCTGGTCTGATGGCTAATGGAGCTCACAGAAACAACTGCAAACCAATTCACAGGCTATAAAGTGTTTTTGATGTTTAAGAAATGAGACTTCTTTGCTGTTAATTGTAGGCCCCAGGCAGATCCAGCTTTATTAACCCCAAGGTCCCCGGTTGTTACCATAATGGGCCATGTTGATCATGGGAAAACGACGGTACTTGACAAGCTGCGAAAAACTCAAGTGGCAGCCATGGAAGCTGGAGGCATCACTCAGCATATTGGTGCCTTTCTTGGTATGAACGCAGATTATCTTACAGCGTGCTTGGGAACCCCCGCTTACGACTGTCTTAAACCGGTTGTCATAATGCGAAGCATAGGAATCCAAAGTCAAAGGGAAAGCTAAAGCTGGAAGCCCTCGGTTGGATGAAATGTAGCGTGGGTGGCCATAAAGGTTATTTTGTACTTTCTATAAGAAGAAAGTTCCATTCCTTTATTCTAGCCCATTCTTAAGTTCGGTCAAATGAGCCTAAAATTCTTCATTAATTTATGAATTATATTTATATGATATGTAATTACATTTATATAATTTATATAACCAACACTAGGTGGTAATAATGTTGCTAATAGTACCAGCTACCATTTACTGAGTTCTTAGCATATACTCAGAGCCCTGGTGGCACAGTGGTTAAGAGCTCAGCTGCTAACCAAGAGGTTGACAGTTAGAATCCACCAGCCGCTCCTTGGAAACCTTGTAGGGCAGTTCTACTCTGCCCCGTAGGGTCGCTATGAATTGAAATCGGCTCAACGGCAGTGGGTGTTTTTTTTTTTTTTGGTTTAGCATATACCCAGCGCTGGGCCAAGCTCTTTATATGCTTTGTCTTTTTCTACCATCACAACAACATTATGAGGTAGGTATTAATATTCCTACTTACAGATGAGGAGGCTGAGGCTTCCTCAGGTTAAGTACATTGCCCAAGGTACACAGTTTCTAAGTGGGGAAGCCAGGATTCAAACCCACGGCTGTTGGACTCTGAATCCTGAGCTACCAGGTGTCATCTAGATTGCCTTTCTGTGGCTCAAGGCAGTTGTGCAGCTGCAGTTCGCTAGGGTGATGGCAGCTTATACAACTGTAGGTCTTTTCTCTCTCCAGGATAGACAGCAGCTAGCACGTTTATGAAGGTGGTTACCGTATGTTCTAGAAATGTGGAGAGTTTTAGTTTGAGACTATCAGATGAAAGGAAAAAACCCTGAGGTCTCACTGGTATGTTATCACTTTTCATTGTGAAATGATGAACTGTATTGTTCTGATTAAAGTTAATAGAAAGAGTAAAATTATTTTGAAGGATTATCAATTGCATTTGATAGTGTTGCTTACATTCTTTTATATTAAGAAAGTATGCATTTGAGTCTTGGTGTTTTGGGTTTCTGTTCACACAGTTTCTCTGCCTTCTGGGGAGAAGATCACCTTTCTCGATACTCCGGGACACGCTGCCTTCTCAGCAATGAGAGCCAGGGGTGCTCAGGTCACCGACATTGTCATCCTGGTTGTGGCAGCCGATGACGGAGTGATGAAGCAGACGGTGGAATCTATTCAGCATGCCAGAGACGCTCAAGGTACTGTGTGCTGACTTGTGTGTGTCAGGAAGGACATTTGTTTCTAAGGATCTGGGGCGTTGGCCTGTAGCTCATTTCATCTTGACACGATAATCCCGAGATTATTTTACCTGTTAAAAGGAGCCCTGGTGGTGCAGTGGTTAAGTGCTCGCCTGCTAACCAAAAGGTTAGTGATTCAAACCCACCAGCCACTTCACGGGAGAAAGATGTGGCAGTTTGCTTCCATAAAGATTACAGCCTTGGAAACCCTATGGGGCAGTTCTACTCTGTTCTATAGGGTCGCTGTGAGTCAGAATAGACTCCACCGCAGTGGGTTTAAAGATAATTAGGTTACTTTCCCATAGACATATAACCAATCAGAAGAGTGTAGCAGGATTGAGCGTGGGACTTCTGGCCACCAGTGCAATTCTTTCTCTGCTTTCACTTACTTGGCATGGTGAGAGAATTTGACAGTCTCAAATAACTTTTTTTAAAAACAACTTTTTATCATGGAAAATTTTAAACAGATACAAAAGTAGGAAGAATCAAATAATGAGCCCCTATGTGCCCACCACCGAGGTTCATTAGGGGTTGCAAAGTGGTGATGCTGTAATTCCACTATCCCGTCTTCATTTATTATCTGGAACTCTTCTATAAAGAGAAACTGTCTCCTTATCTACTTTAAATATGTTCTTATTTGATCGAATGTATGTAACTGAAACTTTTAGAGAATCACTTGACCATCTTCTCCTTTATTTCACCCTTTAAAAATTGTAATAATGAATACCACACACACACTCTGTACATTCACTCTGATTCTGGTATGATCCTAGACCTACTTCTACTGAGAAAATGTACCTGACCCCTTAAACTCATTGCCATGGAATCGATTCCAACTCATAGTGACCCTGTAGGACAGAGTAGAACTGCCCCATGGGGTTTCTACGGAGCAGCTGGTGGATTCAAACTGCCGACCTTTTGGTTAGCAGCCGAGCTCTTAACCAGAGTGTGTCACAGTCCCCCGGTGTGTTGGCAAGGGGATAAAACAGTTAGAAATCACTGATGCAGTCCAGTTCGTTCATCTCACAGAGATGAAAACTAAGACCCGGAGAGCAGCAATGACTCCCAGGTTACACTGCTAATTTGCAATGTGCCTGTTTTTGAAGTCCAGGTCTTCTGGCTTCTGATGTTACTCTCTTTCCTTTTTAACTCCTCACATCTGCCTTTGTGGGGTGCCCTGTGTTCCCAGTGGACAAAGAGCACATGTGGCAAACAGAAGAGTTGGTCAAGACAGGATGGATTCATTGTACCATGCTTTTCTACCCTATCCTCTTCGTCCCAACTAAGTTACAGCTCATCAAAGTGGGATGTACTTTTTCATAATAGTAGATTGTGGATTGCACAGCTTTTCTGTATCTATTTTCAATTTCTGTCTCTTTGATATCTGTGAAAATTGCAGAGATGTTGAAACTCAACTGGAGAATTGTCTCCTAGAATTTTGTGTGATCCCTTTCTGTAGTGAGTAGGTATGTCCAGTAACGTCAAGTAGATTATAGGATTATTTGGTTCTTTCATTAAGGAAGCATTTATTGAGCACCTACAGTGTGTCGACTACTGAGCTATTATGTGAATAAAGAGTTATTGTAAATTTTAAAAGAAGATTGGCAGTAATGATACCTAGCTCCTGGCAAGAAGAAGTGAATGATCTAGTGATACTGAATTATGTCCTGCCTTGATTTTTCTCTGGAGCGTGTCTCTATTGTAGCTACTGATCTTGCTTTCACATTTAAGGATAGGCCTTTCTCAACCCAAAATATTGTTCTTTTGATCTTAGGTGTCTGTTCTTAACTCAGAATCTCCTTATAACTACATTCTTAATCTCTGACAGCTGGATTCTCTCTTGACATGTAGAGATCAGAGTAGGGTGGTGTGACTCTAAAGTGGGTCTTGTGGATCTGTTGGTAGGTGGGTACGGCCCTGAGTACAGAGAGAGGGAGAACAGGTTGGCATCTTCTGCTGTGAATACCTGGGATTGAAGGTGTCCTCATTTGCACTCTTCCTAAATCTGTTTCTTTCAGTTCCTATCGTCCTTGCCATAAACAAATGTGACAAAGCTGAGGCTGATCCTGAAAAAGTGAAAAAGGAGCTGCTGGCTTACGACGTGGTGTGTGAGGATTATGGAGGCGACGTTCAAGCAGTGCACATCTCGGCTCTTACGGTAAATACGGCGCCTCACAGACAGATGTGCTCAGGTGGTAAGGCTATTCCTGATGCCCAGAGTATGTGATGTTTAAGGAGCATTTTGACATATATTATTTCTGTGGTTATTTAAAGATTATCTGATACACGAGACTAAAGGGGCAGCTCCTCTCCGGAGGCGAGATGAGAAGGCAGAAAGGGACAGGAGCTGGTTGAATGGACATGGGAAATCCAGGGTGGAAAGGAGGAGTGTGCTGTCACAGTATAGGGAGAGCAAGTAGGGTCACATAACAATGTGTGTATAAATTTTTGTATGAGAAACTAACTTGAACTGTAAGCTTTCACCTAAAGCACAGTAAAATAAAATAAAGATTATCTGAGTACTAGGCAAAGCTGGTGGCATTGTCCTTGTTGGTACACTCGGAGTTAGGCTCAGAAAGGTCAGTTACCAGTCTGTGGTCACATGGCTGATCAGTGGGGAGTCAGGTCTAAATCTAATGATTTTCTCATTATGAGACACAGAATATGAAGAGTAAATGGTGAATGATTTGGGAATAGGGACACAGTAGCCTGAAGACTGAAGCAGAAATGATAGGATAGCTATCCATATATATTCATATATGCAGTAAAACACACAGAGGGCACAAGCATGGGTACTTTTTAGACTTAACGAAACACCTCGCAGGATTGGTTTATGGGGTCTGAAGGCTTTGGACCAGAATTTCATGGGACAACTCAGACAATTGGCATAATATAGTACCTAAAGTTTATGTTCTACACCTTAGTTTGGTGAGTAGCTTCTGGGGTCATAAAAGCTTGTGAGTAGCCGTCTAAGATACAACTGTTGGTCTCTCCATGTCTTCAGTAAAAGAGAAAGAAGGTGACCAAAGGCTCAGAGGCGAAAGTAGTCTACAGGACTGATAGTCTACACATTTACCCTGAGACCAGAAGAACTAGATGGTGCTCGGCTACTACTACCAACCGTTCTAATCAGGGCCACAGTAGATGGATGCTGATAGAACAGGAGAAAAATGTGTAACAGAACTCAAATTCTTGAAAAGTCCAGACTTACTGGACCAGTTGAGACCGGAGGACTCCCCGAGACTATTGCCCTGCGATGTTCTTTAAACCTTGAACCAAAACGATTCCATGAGCTCATCTCTTAGGTAAATAATAGATTGGCTCATAAAATAAACACTTATCAACCATGAGTACTGTGCTCCGTTAAAAAATCATAAGACCAAACAGTTAACATTTACTCGAAAGCAAAGATGAAGAGGCAAGAAGGCAGGGAAACTAGACTACTGGAAACGGAACAACTCGAACAGAAATAATGGGAACGTTGACATACTTGTGAAAAATATAACCGTGTCACTGAAAAAATTGTGTAGAAATTGTTAAATGGGAGTCTGATTTGCTGTGTAAACTTTGACCGAAAACGCAAGAAAATATTATTTAAAAAAAAGATATGATAGGGAGAATTGAGCGAGAGTGTCAGAGAAGTAAAATGAGACCTTCTCTTCCGCGGCATAAGATAGAGATAGAGGACTACTTCCTATGAGGAAACAACCCCAGCTCTGCTTTTTGGAGCAGCCATTTTGTAAACTGGAATAAAGACTAGGAATAAGTGGATGAGGAAACAATTATTTAGTGAGTTTTTTACAGCTGTCTCTGCTGTCCTATACTCTCACAACTGTGAGCAATCTCTTAGCTGACATGGAGTGGGAATGGGAAAATCTCTTGATCATAAGTTCAGTTCCATTGCCAGTTAATCACCTGAGTCATCTTGGAGCTCCAGAGAGAGTAGGAAACATAGATCATTAAAGGTGATTCATCTGATCTAGCCCCTTCATTGTGCAGTTGAGGGAAGGTGGGCCAGGTAGGTGAAATGATGTTTCAAGGCTTCACAGCTGGGTGGTTGCAGAGTGTGGTTTTGAGTCGGTGCTTTTTCTCCTCGTTCGTTGAGTAAGAGTGAGTAGTGCTTAACTGACTTACCTCACAGGATTCTCAAGTGGATCAAAGGAAATAATAGATACGAAACTTGTTCAATTGAATAGACTTTTAAATGTAAAGTAGCATTGTTAAGAAAGTTAGTGACAGGAAGAAGACAAAATCGCAGAAACAGATTTAGGAGAAAGAGAATAAATGAAGTGTGTGTTTATGAAAGAGAATTAGCAAGCACCACCAGTGGCCATCTTTTAAACAATAGCCACTTGTGGGAGTGGACAGCCCCATATAACAAACGGGGACTAATGAGGCTCAGCAGTCCAGGGACAAGGACTAGAAGGCAGAAGGGGATGGGAAACCTGGTGATAGGGAACCCAAGGTTGAGTGAGTCCAGTGGTGACATGTCGTGGGGTTGTTAACCATTGTCATAGGGCAACGTGTGTACTAACTGTTTAATGAGAGACTATTTTGTTCTGTAAACCTTCATCTAAAGTGAGAATAGCAGTACAACTGGAAGAATGTAATCGATGTCACTGAACTGTGCATGTAGAAATTTTTGAAATGGATGGTATATCTTTGGCTATGTATATTTTCACCAAAAAAAAAAAAAAGGTCAAGAAGCGAGAGGGTTGACACGTCATGGGGTTGTTAACCGATGTCATAAAACAATATGTGTACTGACTGTTTAATGAGAAACTATTTGTTCTGTAAAGCTTCACCTGAAGTACAATTAAAAAAAAAAAAAAATAGCCACTTGTTCTTTGCAAGATCTGTCCCTAGGCCAAGGTTTCCTGTGGATTGTTTTCTTCTTTTTTTTAATGTGTAATTTATGATTTTAATGCTTGAAGAGAATAGTATGCTGTCAAGGATTTTTTGGCTCTCTAACCCTGGTATTTACATTTACAGATAACATTAGTACCTTTGTTGTTGTTTTTCAAGGGCAACAATCTGATGGCCTTGGCAGAAGCAACAATTGCTCTGGCAGAGATGTTAGAATTGAAAGCAGACGCCACTGGTCCAGTGGAAGGAACAGTAATAGAGTCTTTCACAGATAAAGGAAAAGGGTAGGACCTTTAAAATTCTTGGTTTTTAATACTTATGTTCCATGATTTTTTGACTTGATTATAACAACGTATTGTTTTTATTGCATGTCGTTGTTCGTCCATGAACACAGCATTTATTTTGAAAAGTATTTTATTGTTCTAGCACACAAAGCACAAAAATGGTGGTGATCGTCAGCAGACCATAGCAGCTGTCTTGTGTACGTCTGGTAGCCATGTTTGGATGATTTCAGTAGTTCCATTTGTTTGACTTCTTTTTCACTGACTTGACTGAATTGGCAGCACCTCATACCTGTTGCCATTGAGTTGATTCTGACTGATAGAGACCCTGTAAGACAGAGTAGAACTGCCCCACAGGGTTTCCAAGGAGCGGCGGGTGCATTTGAACTGCCGACCTTTTGGTACCTCAGAGACTAATGTAAACTGGAATGGAATACAGGCTGTTGCATTTCAGGTATCTAGGTTCTTTATGACCTCACCCATTAATATTATCTACAGTAAGGTCTTGGAGGTGGTGTTCTCTTCTTGCATTTACCTTCTTACCAGCAAGAGAGGCCTTTTCACTGCGTGCTAAATGGGTTATCGAAGGGGAATGAGGAATTCTGTCGGAACGCTCTTCCTCCCGGCCCTCCCCTAGTATAACCTCACAAGAAATGTTTGCATAGTATGAAAAACTGCTTAAATCAGAAAGTGACAAGATGAACCCTGTCTGTACACGTGTATATTTTTAAACTTCAGAAAGATACTTTGCTTTACAGAAGAATACAGTTACATCCCGATTCTGAGAATAAAGATATACGTTTACCTCCATTTTAGTCCTGTTACTACAGCCATCATTCAACGAGGAACTTTGAAAAAAGGCTCCATTCTGGTTGCTGGAAAGTGTTGGGCAAAAGTACGCTTAATGTTTGATGAAAATGGCAACACAGTCAGTGAGGCCTGTCCCAGCATGCCGGTGGGAATTACAGGCTGGAGGGACCTTCCTTCGGCAGGAGATGAAATTCTTGAAGTAGAATCTGAGGTACATCAAGCTTGATTCCTATGTATTAGATACATTATAATGATTTTGAATATCACTCTCACATGTGACACCGAATAAGTATATTAATGTTAACAAATAATTCTAGACAATAAGGGGCGGACAGGACAGTGGTGCCATTTTAGAATTTGGCTGTTGATGTTTTATTCTAATTTGAGCGATTTTTAATTAAATAATTTCAGTTATACACAAAACACCCAAAATAAAATTTTGTAAGTTTCTTGAAATATAAAATCAGTAGTTTCATGCGTGAGTTGGGCTAATTTCATAAGGGGGAAAACCCAGAGCCGTTAAACTAGCAGTTCTCGGCTTCCATTTAGTTAAATAACGCCGTTTTCCCCCGGTAAAGACAAGGGCGTGTGAAGTTGTCGACTGGAGGAAGTACGAGCAAGAACAGGCGAGAAATAAAGACCATCTGAAAATAATAGAAGAAAAGCGAAAGGAACACCAGGAAGCGCATCGCAAAGACCGTGAGAAGTATGGCAGTTTGCACTGGAAGGAGAGGTCGTTGTTAAAGTACCAGCTAAAAAAAGAACAGAAACCCTTAAAGCCGAAGGAGAAAGCAGAAAGAGATTCCAACGCACTTCCTGTAATTATTAAAGGTACCTTGCTTAGGATTTTACTTTACAACTCTTTTCTGGAACATATTTATTTCTTTATTTTCACAATAATTAGAGCCTGTAATTAAGCCAAAAAAATTTCAATATTTTGGGGTGATTTTCTTCGTAAACATGTTTCTGGACGATTTTGTTGTAAGTGTACATTTGGTTCATTCTACTTTAAGTAGATATTTATAATGCCAAACCTAAATGAAAGTGGATTTAGTCGTAAGTGCCATTTCCATCATAAGCAGCCCTGGTGGCGCAGTGGTTAAAGCAATCGACAGCTAACTGGAAGGTCAAAAGCACCAGCGGCTCCACGGGAGGAAGATGTGGCAGTCCGCTTCCTAGAGGTTTCCAGCCTCGGAAACCCTATGGGGTTGCTGTGAGTCGGAATCGACTCCACAGCAGTGGGTTTTTAATCATGGCCTTGGATAGACTGTCATGTTTGTGTCTGTTAATACCTACCTCTTAACATCAGTTTAAAACTTTGGCTCTCTTTAGGCGATGTTGATGGTTCCGTTGAGGCCATTCTGGACATTATGGATACCTACGATGCTTCACACGAGTGTAAACTAGAATTAGTACATTTCGGAGTGGGCGATGTTAGTGAAAATGACGTTAACCTTGCCGAAACGTTTGGTGGTAAGGAGTCCATTTCCGATTTGTGTAGCTGTGTTTCCTAGCTCACTCTCTGAACCATTTCCTTCTGTCTTCCGCTGCTGGCCTCATCCCCCGTGACATTTACTCCATCAGCCTCTCTCTTCCCACTGCAGTCAGTCCCACCTAGTTGCTGAGGCTGCCAGGCTGTACAGTGTTGCAGCCCTAGCTCTGCTTTTGCCGTCCTGCTGCAGACTTGGGGAGCTGTTTCACACCACAGTAGTGTTTCTTTGTGGGCACCGCTACCGTCTCTCTCCCCTCCTCCCAATCCCCCACCCCAACCCAAGGGCGATTCTCTTTTAGACGTTTGAATGCTCCTAACGCTGTAACTAGCCTATTTAGAGCCTTCCTTTGTCTTTACTTCTGGCTATCTGTTTTTATTAATAATGCCACAGATCACGTCTTTCTTAGATCAAAAGCTCCTTTTAGCTTTAAATAAAGCCTAGAAGGCAGACAGACTGTCTTTATTCGTCAAACTTAAGATACATAGAAGAGCAATTCATGACTGTCACTTTAGCTAGGTCTAATACCCAGTAAAGCACAAGCATTTGTGGTGCAGTGGTTAAGATCTCAGCTGCTAACCAAAAGGTCGGCAGTTCGAATCCACCAGCTGCTCCTTGGAAACCCTATGGGGCAGTTCTGCTCTGTCCTAGAGGGTCGTTGTGAGTTGGAATCAACTCAGTGGCAGTGGGTTTGGTTGTTTTTTGTTTTTTTTTTTTGGTGAGGTATTCGTGCAGCATACTGCTTTTTAAATTAGGGCACTGAAAATAATATTTCCTAAATGAATGGATTTAAGATCATAAAGAGATTTCCTTGTTAAGCCACAATTTATAAAATTCTCACTTGCATTCATTTTAAAGTTTACTGGTTTTCATGAGAATTTCATGTAGAATTTCTCATCTCCCCCAGTGGCTTTTAATTGACTCAGGGAGGAAAGAAAACCAGTTTCTGCTTGAAAGACGAACGATTACAATGCAGTGTTTGTGCTGCTTTACTGATTTGGTTTCTACTTGCCAGGCATCATATATGGCTTCAATGTGACTGCAGGCAATGTTATCCAGCAGTCAGCTGCAAAAAAACGAGTAAAGATTAAACTTCACAAAGTCATTTACCGTCTTATTGAAGATTTGCAGGAAGAACTGAGCAGCAGACTGCCCTGCACTGTGGAGGAACACCCCGTAGGTGAGTGTTCGCTGAATGGTACTTTGAAACATTGGTATCTTAGGTGCTGTAAATAACACCTGAAAGCAAAGTTTAAGGAGAACGTAATTCACTGCTCTATCAGGTGTCTGTCTTCCTGTTTCGTATCCTGTGACCGAGACAAAACGACTATCATAGATGAGAATTCAGTGTGACTTCATAATGTATTAGAAACACCTGTCCTTTGCAACACACCGTCTTAGCCCTGAGGGTACAGAGGCAGTAAGAACTTGCCCCCACGTTCTTGCTTTGGAGACAGACACCAACAGCTAATTGGCATACACGTTAGAAGGGATAGGAGCGCAGCGGATCACGGGCAGTGCCGTGGAAGGAGGCACGGATGTCGTCTGGGGGCTTGGCAGAGAAATCAACTGTGAGAAGAAAGTTCACTATATTTAAATAGTAAATATTTTAAAATACTCTTTCTAGCATATTCCTTGGCCAGATTAAAGGCTAAATTTATTTAAATTTGATTGAATCACCTTATCTGTTCTTTTCATCCCACAGATTTTTTAAACATTTTATATTAATAGTTTAAACTTCTAGGAAATTACAAGTAAAGTACAAAGAACTCCCACATGCACTTTACCCAGTTCAGCATTTGTTTACATTGTGCCCTGTTTGCCTTGTTCCCCTGCATATATGTAACATGCAACATACATAAACATATATACATTCCCCCTCCTGAATCATTTGCCTTGTTCCCCTGGATATATGTAACACGCAACATACATAAACATATATACATTCCCCCTCCTGAATCATCTGAGAGTAAGTTTGAGATATTGGGAGTGCCACTAGGCCTTCAGGTTAAGGGTTAAGAGCTCAGCTGCTAACCAAAAGGCTGGCAGTTTGAATCCACCAGCCACTCCTTGGAAACCCTATGTGGCAGTTCTACTCTGTCCTATAGGGCCACTATGAGTTGGAATTGACTTGATGGCAACGGGTTTGGTTTTGAGATATTGTGCCTGTTTGCCTCTAAGTGCTTGTATTTCCAAAGAACAAGGACATTCTCCTACAGAACCACAGAACAGCTGTTAAACTCAGGAAGTTAAACATTTATACAATACTTGGGAGCCTTGATGGCACAGTGGTTAAGAGCTCAACTGCTAATCAAAAGGTTGGCAGTTCGAATCCACCAGCTGCTCCTTGGAGACCCTATGGGGCAGTTCTACCCTGTCCTATAGGGTCTCCATGAGTTGGAATCGACTCAACAGGGATGGGTTCCTATCTAATCCACAGTCCATATTCAAATTTCATTCCTTGACCCAATACCATACTTTAAAGGTATATATTTTTCCCCTGGCCCAGGATCATGGATGTTAGTTGCCATGTCTCTTTAGTCTCTTTTAACCTGGAACAGTTCCTCAACCTTCGTCTTTTTGACCTTTGACATTTTCAGAGTCTAGATCCGTGGCTTTGTACAATGTCCCTTCATTTGGATTTGTCTGTTGTCTCCTCATGGTGAGATTCGGTGTTTGCATTTTTGGTCTACTACAGATTTATTTCTAGGCCTTTTTTGCCCTGCTAAACCTGACCATACAGAGATTTACACGGAGAGCTGTGCTTCGTGAGTATTTCTAGGAGTAAGCAAGTACCAGCCAAGTAACACAGCCTAGAGGACTGGAACCTGATGCTCTGTGATGTCATGGCACTACTGGAACTCTAAATAATCAGTGGAAAAATTAAGCTGATCCCCAGAATTAGTGCTCTTACGTGGGTATCAATTACTAGTGGTGAGGTAAATAATAAACCAGGCAATGAATGACAGATGATCTACTTGAGAAAATATAGAGGGAGCGCTGAAAACTGGATTTTCATGGAGCAGACAGGAACTGTACTAATCTGTTGTCTGCTATTATGATAGTGTATTTTATTCAGCCAAAGAAGTGAGTTGCATTTTTTTTGTTGTTCACTCTTTTGGTAAATGTGTATTTTTATGATTATTTTCTTTTCCAAGAATACCAAGGGAGTTTCATGAGTTTTTATTCCTAATCCTGGTTAGGAGAATAAAGTTGGCGGAGTCAAAGAAACCAGCACTTCTTTCTATGCATAAGTTTGTATTTTTTTACACCTTTTTTTAAAAATACGTTGTTGTTGTTGAGAATATACACAGCAGAATGTACGCCGATTCAGCAGTTTCTACATGTACAATTTGGTGACACCGATGACATTCTTCAAGTTGTGCAACATCCTCACCCGCCTTTTCTGAAATGTTCTTCACTCATTAACATAAACTCACTGTCCCCTAAGTTTCCTATCTAATCTTTTGAGTTGCTGTTGTTAATTTGATTCTATATAGATCTTAAAAGAGCACAATGTTCAAGGCAGACGTTGTTTACTAGTTAAATTAAACTTTTGTTTGGTTTTGAGAAGACTTCAGGGGATATTTTTGGTTTAAGGTTTGAAGATTATCTCAGGGCAATATTTTTAGGGGTTCTTCCAGCCCGCATAGCTCCAGAAAGTCAGGATTCCATGAGAATTTGAAATTCTGTTTTGTATTTTCCCTCTTTTGATTAGGATTCTTCTGTAGAATCTTTGATTAAAATGTTCAGTAATAGTAGCTGGGCAGCATCCAGTTCTTCTGGTCTCATGGCAAAGGAGGCAGTTGTTCATGGAGGCAGTTAGCCTCATATCCCATTTCCTCCTCCTGTTCCTGACTCTCCTTCCTCTGTTGCCCTAGGCAAATAGAGATCAATTGTTGTGCCTTGGATGGCCACTTGCAAGCTCTTAAGACTCGAGGCACTATGCAGCCAGCTAGGAGGTAGACTGGAAGCACTAAACACAGTATTAGGCCAATTAACTGGGATGCTCCATGAATCCATGACCCTAAAACTCTAACCCAAGGAACCAAATCCCATGAGGTGTTTGTGGTATATAAGTAACCTCAGCAGCTTTTTTTTTCTTTTGTTGTTGTTATATACACCTTTAATTCTTGCACTTCAGAATGTCAGAAGTTGTACATTTAATGTTCTCTTCTTCCTAAAGGTGAGGCTTCCATACTAGCTACCTTCTCTGTGACAGAAGGGAAGAAAAAAGTTCCTGTGGCTGGCTGCAGAGTCCAAAAGGGACAGTTAGAAAAAAAAAAGAAATTTAAGTTAATCCGTAATGGGCATGTTATTTGGAAGGGTAAGCAAAATCAGAATCTGTTTCTCTATAATTTTGACATTACTTACCATCCTTCTTGGTCTCAGTGTACATTAAAAAATCCTTGTACTCTGGTACCTTTCCATAGTCCTCTGCTGACCCTGTACCCACCCAGCCTCTGTCCATCTTCCCTCCCCTTTCCCAAACCTACTCTTCCTTAGCATGTTCTCTAACTGGACAGGTATCTGGAGATCACTCAGGTATCCCCAGCCTGGGAACCTGAACAACCCTCTGCTCCTGCATATGTCATATCCAGTGGCTGTCTTTCACTCTTATAACCATAACTGGTCCCAGTGGGCTCCCCTGCTTACTAATGCTGATGACTCCCCCAGGATCAGCAATTCCCCAGTCTTGATTTTCTAAGCCTTTTAAAGTTGCCTCCAAAACTACCTTTCCAGCCGTCTTCCACTTGATAGTGTACTTGCTCACTTCTTTAATTTGACCTTTTGTCTATAATGTCTTGTCCTTTATCTTGGTTTCTGCCATTCTTCAAGTCCAGAGTACAATCCCATCCTCTGCAAAAAGTCTTAACCTACTTTTGGGATGAGAGATTTAGTATCTTTTGCTACAAGTCAAATTTTGTTTACAGTAAACTTTGGTTTTCTTGGTATTTTGTCTCATCCTTTAATACGAGGGATTCTGATCTGACAAGACTTACATTGTTAAAACTTTTTGTGATGGTCTATAATCAGGAGGGATCAGTCCCTGGAGGACATCATGCTTGGTAAAGTAGAGGGTCATCAAAAAAGAGGCAGACGCTCAACGAGATAGAGTGACACAGTGGCTGCAGAAATGGGCTCAAGCGTAGTTATTGTGAGGATAGTGCAGGACCAGGCAGTGTTTCATTCTGTTGTACATAGGGTTGCTATGAGTTGGAACCGACTCAACGGCACCTAACAACATAATCCTCTAGTATTTGATGTGCAGTACATTGTACTTAGGTTTCAAAAACATTCTTCAAAAGCATTTACTTGGTGACTTGAATGTATGATTTTATAAAATTTTTAAGGATTCTAGTGTAATTTTCCTTTAACACCAGACTTCATAGCACTTAGTGTTGTTAGGTGCCTTCCTCTGTTTTGCTGACCCTCTACTTTACCAAGCACAATGTCCTTCTCTAGGGACTGGTCCCTCCTGATAACATGTCCGAAGTATGTGAGATGAAATCTCGCCATCCCTGCTTCTAAGGAGCAGTCTGGCTGTACTTCTTTCAGGATAATGTTTGTTCTTCTGGCAGTCCATGGTATATGCTGTACTCTTCACCAGCACCATAATTCAAACGCATCAATTCTTCAGTCTTAGTAGGTACTATTTGTTGAATACACGAACCTTAAGTTTCTTATTATTTTTTTTAAGGTTCATTAACCTCACTGAAACATCATAAGGATGATGTTTCAGTCATCAAAACTGGAATGGATTGTGGTCTCAGTGTGGATGAAGAAAACATAGAATTTAAAGTGGGAGATGAGATGGTCTGTTATGAAGAAAAAGAAGTTCTAGTCAAGACTTCTTGGGATCCAGGATTTTAAAATTACATTAAAAAAAAAAAGTGAATGACTTAACGCCTTGCTTTGTTACAAAGCAACTAGTTTTGCTTTACTGAAGGTAAGCATTCAAGATACGGCACTACTCGTCAGAAGTATTCAAGTTGTACCAAGTGTTAATGTGCACTAGAAAATACTGTCAGGGCTCCAGAAACTGACTTTATTTAAGGATGCCTCCAGCTAGGATTCCTGAAGCGCAACAACAGCAGTGTAATAAAAGGGATTATAAATCACTGGTGTACCACTGAATGCAATGATCAGGATTTAACAGACATCTTCCCAGTGTATGCTTTACTTAGAAGCAGTATTCAGAGTCAGTGCTACTTGAGTTTCATGGGCAAAACGTTGTTAGGTGCTGTCGAGTCCATTTTTGACTCACAGTGACCCAATGTGACAGAGTAGGATTGCCCCATAGGGTTTTCTAGGCCTTACTCTTTATGGAAGCAGATCCCCAGGTCTTTTCTGGAGCCACTGGGTGGGGTTCACACCACCAGCCTTTGGTTAACTGCTGAACGCTTAACTGTTGCAATAACAGGGTTCCTTGGGCAAAACAAAAAAATCTCATTGTTCCCACTCATCCCTATAGGATAGAGTATAACTGCCCCATAGGGTTTCCAAGGCTGTAATCTTTACAGAAGCAGATTGCCACGTTTCTCCTGTGGGAGGCAGCTGGTGGGTTCAAACTGACCTTTTGGTTAGCAGCCGAGCTCTTAACCAGTGTGCCACCAGGGCTCCTTCGTTGGGCATACAGTACCAAATACTGCTTGAGACTTTATTAGCGTTAGCAGCACTGATAGGTAATCCCTTCTTTAAACCAGAATAAAACCAAACACGTTGACATTGAGTCAATTCAGACTCATAGCAACCCTGTAGAACAGAGTAGACCTGCCCCATAGGATTTCCAAGGAGTGGCTACTGGATTTGAACTGCCGACCTTTCGGTTAGCAGCTGAGCTCTTAACTGCCATACACCAGGGCTCCAAATTCCTTCTTTAAAGAGTGTAAATTCCTAAGAGTTCTTACTTCGTATTGACATCAGCGTATCCCCTTGTGCCACAAACATCTCACTCAAACCACCCAAAGATTGTGAGGATACATTTTTAAATTGAAGTTGAGCCTTTAAATTTTCTGCATATAAAAACAGAAATATGCTGTAGCTTCTTTTAGACAAGATCATAAACTTCTAAGTGTTCTATGTATCTTAAGAGAACTCATACCAATGTCCCCCACCCCCAGACACACCTGGCATAACCTGGAGACATTCTGGATTGTCATTAACTAGGGGGTGCCATTGCCATCTAGTTGGTAGAGGCCAGTGATGCTGCTTGTCATATAATGCAGATAGCCTGTCCCCCAACATAATTTCTGACCCAAGATGTCAGTAGTACTGAGGTGGAGAAACTGACACATACACACTGCTTCTACCTAGATCACTTCTGTACTAAATAGTGTCTTAATGAGCTCTGGAGAGCTTACTATTTTCTCCTCCCCACCCCCTGGCAACCACTGTTCTTTTAGTCTCTATGACTTGTCCCTATTTTGGGTTATTTCATATAAAGAGAACCAGACAACACATGACCTTCTGTGCCTGACTTACTGCACTCAGCATAATGCTTTCAGGGTTCCTCCATGTTGTAGGATGTATCAGTATTTCATTTTTTCTTATGGCTCAATAATAATATTCCATTATGGACATTTGGGGAGCCCTGGTGGCACAGTGGTTAAGAGCTTGGCTGCTAACCAAAAGGTCGGCAGTTCTGATCCACCAGCCACTCCTTGGAAACCCTATGGGGTAGTTCTGCTGTCCTATAGGTTTGCTATGAGTTGGAATCAACTCGATGGCAATGGGTTTGGTTTGGTTTTGGTATATAATGAAAATACCAAGGCCTTTTCAGGTAGCTGGCACCTAGCAAGTATCCAGAGCCATTGGAACATGCAATCTAAAGAAGGAAAATTCACATAATAGCAATAGCACATGAGGGAGGCACCGTCAATGGAAATCAAACGACCATTGGTTTAAAACTTAAAAACATTCTGAAAAATTATTTGAATAAAACTCAACAACTGTTAGTTCATGTCTTTTATTAACCCCCACACAATTACTTGTCTTCTGGTTTGTTGAAGCAGTAGGTCAGACAACACTTGCCACAGTAATGTCTATCGAAGTGGCTGGCCATAAAAACCCCAGCACCACACTCATCTGAAGGGCACTCCCTACGAAGGCGACTGATCTTGCCATTCTCATCCACCTGGAAATACAAACTTGCTGTCAGATACTTTTACAACACATTCCACAATCTTTAGCTGAAGCGACTCAAAATACTTAACCCTCTAATCACACAACACCGGTATAACTGTAGTGTTTACAAACTAAAGCACCCAGAATCTGAACAGCAAAGTTCACAGTCCAGTGATGTTTATACATTAAAGCCCCTGCTTTGCAAGCGGGCAGAGATAAGACCTGAACCCAGATCTGATTTCAAACTCAGTACCCCAGGTTGGAATATGCAACCAAGGTGAACCCCATTAGAAAGGATCTTTCAAATGGCAAACAGAAACTTTTAAATTATACAGAGCTTGAAATCAACCACACATTTACACTAAGCAAACAAAAACTTATTTTTTTAAAAAATTCTCATTTCAGAAAAACCTCATGTAAGTCCAATTACTCCATAAAAAATCTAAGTTACTATAAAGAGTAAGTTTCCAAAAAAGCCACGGCTTTGCTAATGATGTGTCAACCCCCTGAAATGGCTCACCTTGTAGTATTTTAGGACAGCCAGCTTAACCTTCTTTCTCTTATGCTTATTCTTCTTGGGAGTAGTGTAAGACTTCTTCTTCCTTTTCTTAGCACCACCTCGAAGTCTCAACACAAGATGAAGAGTGGACTCCTGTCAATGGAACAGAGGATGAAACAGGTTTTTAAAAAGATGACATTAATGCTCATGCTGCATCAAGAACAGCCAGCCAGGCACCATTCATTTTCTAAGTGGAAGCAATAGAAAATACGTAGTGGAGGGGGGTAATATGCTTCTTAACGACATTAATTATAGGGAAATTAAAGAACACACTAAACGACACCATGGGATGCAATCACCAAAATCCAGAATGTGAGAAACTACAGCAGTGTTTCTCAAACATCAGGAGTCACCTAGGAATCTTGTTAAAGATTCTGATTCAGTAGGGCACATGCAAAAACTTGATTTTTTAAACAAGTTCCTGGTTGATAGGGAGATGCCGCTGGTCTACCGACCAGGTTCTATAGACTAAAAAGGGAAGGACTAGTTAAAGATAAAAAGAAACTTATCTAGCAATGGAAATATGAGCACTGATTTGATTATTGAACTTAGAAGAAACAGATAATAGTACTGAGACTATCTTTGAATTGACCCAATGGCAATGGGCTTGGTTTTTGTTTGTTTAGAGGTACACAGCAGAAATGGATTAACTTTAAAATAACCAGGCGGGAGGGAAGCTAAATGAAACACAATTTGACACATGTTGATAACTGAAGTAACAGGTTCCTTAAACTATTCTCTCCATTTCTGTGTGTCAAAATCCCTACAATAAATATTTCATATTTACTTTTAAGGACTGCTCTTTCCCCCAACACACCTTTTGAATGTTGTAGTCAGACAAGGTACGTCCATCTTCCAGTTGCTTGCCAGCAAAGATAAGCCTCTGCTGATCAGGAGGAATTCCTAATTGGGGTGGGGGTAGGGGGGGAATTAAAACAGTAGAACAAGAAAGTCTACCAGAAAAAGTCTACCAAAGGGATAATTCTGTCAGATAAGTCTTACTAACAGGGATCACCAAGCTGTACTACAAACGAGGCATGGTCTTAAATATTTTACACGTTTTACCTCATTTAACCTTAATGACAAGACTTAATGATGACAGGGTTAGTGTAATCCTCACTTTACAAAGAAGTTTTAAAGAATTAAATAACCTGTCCAAATTCGCAGATGGAATACTGTGCAGGGATTGCAATCTAGGCCCCTTGGCTCCATGCTTTTTCATTTGTCTATAGTGCTACTCCGAAACTCCTTCACTTTGTCCACCTGACTTCCCGCCACACCGCCCGCAGACATGCAGCCCAGCTCTGTAGCTCCTACAGGGAGACTGATGTCTCTACCGGGAAATTTTCCTCAGTAACAGACACAACAGTACTTGCCTTCCTTATCCTGGATCTTGGCCTTCACATTTTCTATAGTATCCGAGGGTTCAACCTATGAATTTAAAAACGCAAATGTAACGATCACCGAGCCAGCGGGCAGGCTGCGAGGTCTGCTCCCGGCGAGCACACGTCCTTCCCGAGCCACATGTGCTCGCGCCCATCCGAGGGGCGCGTTCCCGCCGCGATGAGGGACCCACTCGGGAGGCAAGAGGCCCCGACTTTAGGCATCGAAAATCAGAAACCAGTTTGGAACCTTGTGTTAAGGCGGAACGCGGCGCCGGTCCCGAAATCCACCCAGGACCTCACTCGGGCCCCGGTTTCCTCACCCCACTCGGCCCGTACCTCGAGGGTGATGGTCTTCCCCGTGAGGGTCTTTACGAAAATCTGCATCTTGGTGGCGGCCCCACCTGAGTATGAGGGAAAGGAGGAGCCAGGTTAGACCGGGGACACGAGGGAGGGGGGCGGGAAGGTGACTGACCAGAGAGCGACCCTGGAGACACACTCACCGCAGATGGCGGATCGGAAAGGAAGGGTGGCGCGCCGGCCACGGGGTATCCTGGCGCCTCCGCCCAAGGCCTCACTGCTTAGGCGACCACGCCGAATGCCTGACTGCCGTTACAGCGGCCGTCCAACCCAGTGCCGGACTAGGTCGTAACTCTCATTTCTCCTCCCTCTCACCTGGACTGAGTTCTCACCGTAACCTTCGGAATGCTCTTGAAATAGTAGATTTAAACAACTTTAAAAAATATATTTAAAAGGCGTTTTCCCATATAGTCGATGTGGCTGGGAGGGGCTTTGAAGGGGGCGGGGCTGAGAGGTAGTGTCAGAAAGGGAGGAAGTGGAAATGGATTCTGGGAATTGTAGTTTTCTACTGCTTTCTTCCGACGAGGACTACTTGTCCCAAGATGCAGTTCCACACCCCCGGGTTCCCTAGTTACTATCTCCAGACGCCGGAGTCTGGTTGGAGAAAGAGAAGAAGGTGAGGAAGGGAAGACGGAAGATGAGCTGAGATTTGGGAGGAAGTGGGAACGGGCCGGAAATGACCAGGAGAGAAGGTTAAGAGGCTGGAGAGGGGGTGGGGCGCGAAAGTGTCGTTTACCCCCTTACAGCGCCGATGAGGGGCGGGGATCAGCGATCACCCACACGCATTCCGGGCCCCAAAGAGAAAGGGGTCCCTGTGGAAACTCCAAGCAAACTAAAAAATAGGTGAAATCTTAAAAAAAACAACAACTTGGGTTTATCTGCTTCTTGCCATTTAGCCCCGCCCCGCCTTCAACTCCCCAAGTCTCCTAGCCTAAGGAAAATTCTCACTCCTTTGTGTGGAACGATTTAATGTGTTGAAAATCTCAGGAATTTTCGAATTTTGAAATGAAGCCCCAGGGGAAAGAAACCTGCAGAATGGTTCTTTAGTTGTACAGTTTCCAAGTTTGGACGTCTGGAGTGGTGCTGAAGGGCCTGAGAGAAGTTCTTGGAGTGTGTAGGGTGCCTTCCCTGCAGGGCTGGCCAATTGGCAGTGAGTTACACCCTTCCCCTCTCTTTTCTCCACTCGACAGACCACCGAGTCCTGCCTAATGTCTTCTTAATGTCTTTTCTTTCTCTCCGTCCCCGCCCGTCTTCGTCCCATCCGCTAGTTCGTGGCGACCCTGTGTGTTTCAGGGTAGAACTGGAATCCATAGGGTTTTCAGTGACTGTGGTCTTTCTGAAGATTGCCAGGCCTTTCTTCTAGGCACCTCTGGTTGGATTCGAACTGCCTAGTTCAGGCCCTCCTTAATTCTCCCCTGGAAGAGTTCAGTATCTGTCCTAACGTACTTTCTAGTCTTTTCCTCTTACCAACCCGCCTTCATTATTGCCTTCAGAATATTCATCCTAAAAAGGTAAAGAATGATCTTGTCGTTATTCTACTTCAAATACTTTACCAGCTCCTCTCCACCTCAGCGGTAAAGTCCAAATTCCTTAGCATGACGTTCGGCTTCTGCCTCCCTTACAGCCTAATCTGCCAAACCCCGTCCCTCACTTTACACTTAAATAATACTGACCTAATTGCAGTTCCTGACTCATGTTCGCCTGCTATGGTACTTGAGAAGAATCCATTCCATCTTCCTGTAACCCCTTCATCCCCCAGTAGGCCAGCTAGTCTCCACCTTTGCAAGAGAACTCTTTGAAAGAGTTATTTATACTCCTTGTCTCCAATTTTGCCCCTCCAGTTGACTTTCAGACCCACTTCAGGCAGGCTTTTGTCCCCACCATTCCGGTGAAGGAGCTCTTGTTATGGCCGCTAATGACGTCCATGTTGTTCGGTGGTCATCTCATCTTATTTGATCTGTCAGCAGTGTTTGGCACATTGTTCACTTCCTCCTTCTTTGAAACCCTTTTTTTTTTTTTTGGGGGGGGGGGACCTTTATTTCAGGCTGCATTACTTTATTTACTACATAGGTTCCTAAAAAGAAATATGGTGGTCCATTTTATTTTGTAAAATGCATGATTTAATATGAATTAGAGGGATTTAAAGCTGCCCTACTTTGAAACGCTCTGTAACTCGAAGATGGGTTTTTAATTGAAAATTACCAGATTTGGCTCTTGCCCTTTTTACACATTGCTTTTTTTTTTTTTTAAATATTGTGGTTTAGATGACAGTTTACAGAGCAAATTAGTTTCCCATTTAACAGTTTGTACACATTTGTTTCATGACATTAGTTGCAATCCTCTCAATGTGTCAGCACTCTACCCCCTTCCTCCTTGGGTTCCCCATTTCTATTCGCCCATCTATTCTGCCCCTTCCTGCCTTCTGAACTTTGTTTTTGGGCCGATGCTTCCGTTTTGGTGTGATATGATTGATTGTTCTAAGGAGCACATTCCTCACTGGTGTTATTCACTTTATAGGTCTATCTGTTGTTTGCCTGAAAGGTGATCTCCAGGAGTGGTTCGGTTCAGGTTTGAAGGGTATCTGAGGGCCATAGTCTCGGGGGTTCCACCAGTGTCTGTCAAACCAGTAAGTCTGGTCTTCTTCATGAATTTGAATTTTGTTCTACATTTTTCTCCCACTCTGTCCAAGACTTTCTATTGTGATCCCCATCAGAGTGGTTGGTACAGGTAGCCGGGCACCATCTAGTTCTTCTGGTTTCAGGCTAGTGGAGGCTGTGGTTCGTGTAGTCCGTTAGTCCTTTGGACAAATTGTTTCCTTGAGTCTTTGATTTTCTTCACTCTTCTTTGTTCTGGATGGGAAGAGACCAGTAGTTGTTTGTATCTTAAATGACTACTTACAAACTTTTAAGACCCCAGATGTTACTCACCAAAGTAGGATGTAGAACATTGTCTTTATGGACTATGTTTTGCCAATTGACCTAGATGTCCCCTGAGACCATGGTCCTAAGCCCTAAAGGCCAGTGACTCAGTCCCTCAAGGTGTTTGGTTATGGCTAAGAAGTTTTCATAACTGTGCCCCCTGTGTGCTCTATTTAAATGAATATATTTGCAGCACATACAAATACGTATGTAGAAATATCCTCTGCCAAACTTTTATATGTTCATGGGTATACTCCCATACGCAGTCCCACACCTGTTCAGTTTACATATCTACCTATGTATCCACTTGTAAATTATTGTTTGTTATTGCAAGATTGTGTATGTAATAGTATTTATCGTTGTTTCCTTTTATGCTTGCGTACCTCCCAGTATCCTCCTTTGCCTTGGTCAGGTTTTGCTGACTTCCCCCTTATTGTATATTGCTTTTCCCTTCACCCAAGTTAATAATGTCTACTATCTAGTTAGCAATTTTCTCTCTCCTCCCATCCCTGTTAACCATCAGAGTTTTTCTTTCTGTGTGTAAACCTTTTCTTTTTATAATAGTGGTCTCATACAATATTCGTCCTTTTGTGATTGATTGTTTCACTCCGCATAACGTCCTCCAGCTTCATCTATGTTGTGAGATGTTTCGTGGATTCATTGTTATTCTTTAACACTGTGTAGTATTCTATTGTGTGTATGTACCACAGTTTGTTTATCCATTCATCCGTTGATGGGCATGTAGGTTGTTTCCATCTTTTTGCTATTGTGAATAATGCTGCAGTGAACATAGGTGTGCATATATCTATGTGTGTCACACCTCTTATTTCTCTAGGATATATACCTAGTAGTGGGATTGCTGGATCATAAGGTATCTGTATTTCTAACTTTCTAAGGAAGCGCCATACTGTTTTCCACAGCGGTTGTACCATTTTAAAATCCCACCAGCAGTGTATGAGAGTTCCAATTTCCCCACACCCTCGCCAGCATATGTTGTTTTTGGTTTTTTTGATCATTGCCATTTTTGCCGGGGTGAAATGATAACTCGTTGTTTTGATTTGCATCTGTCTATTGGCTAATGATCATGAGCATCTGTTCATGTATTTGTTGACCGCCTGATTATCTTATTTGGTGAAGTGTCTGTTCATGTCTTTTGCCCACTTTTTAATGGATTGTTTGTCTTTTTGTTGTTGAGATGTTGATGTTTTCTGTAATTTTAGAGAGTAGTCTTTGTCAGATATGTAATTGCCAAATTTTTTTTCTCAGTCTGTAGGTTCTCTTTTTACTCTTTTGGTGGGAGAAGTCTTTTGATATACTTAAGTGTTTAATTTTTAGGAGATCCCGGTTGTCTACTTTATCTTCTGCTGTTTGTGCATTTTTAGTTATGTGAAACACTTTCCTCACCTGACTTCCAGGATACCCCTTTCTCAATTTTCCTTCTACCTCCCTGAATGGTCTTTTCCAGGCTTTTTGCTGCTTCCTCTTGATCTCCCAGACTTCTCAACTTTGGAGTGCCCCCAAGGCCCAGTCTTTGGACCTCTGCTCTGTTTACATTTCCCATGTCATCTCATTCTGTCTTATCACTTTAAAAATAACTTTTATATGCAGATGACTCATAAATTTATATCTCTCACTCAGACCACTCACCTAAACGTTGGACTATAGCCAACTATCTGCTCAACATACCTAGTAGGCAAGCTCCAAATTCCTGATCTTCCCATGAAATTTGCTGTTTCTCTATAAATGGCAGTTACCATCTTCATAATAGCTAAGGCCAAAAACTTCACGGTAATCCTTGACTCTGCTCTCGTTGTTCTTAGGTGTTGTTGAGTCGGTTCTGAATCATAGCGACCCTACGTATAACAGAATGAAACGTTGCTCGGTCCTGCGCCATCCTCACAATCATTGCTGTGTTTGAGCCTGTTATTGCAGCCACTGTGTCAATCCATCTCGTTGAGGGTCTTCTTCTTTTCCTCCAACTCTCTACTTTACCAAGACTAGTCCCTCCTGATTACATGTCCAAAGTACGTCAAACAAAGTCTTGCTGTCCTTGCTTCTAAGGAGCATTCTGACTGTACTTCTTCCAGGACAGATTTTTTCGTTCTTCTGGCAGTCCACAGTAAGTTCAGTATTCTTTGCTAACGCCATAATTCAAAGGCATCAGTTCTTCTTTGGTCTTCCTTATTCATTGTCCAGCTTTTGCACGCATATGAGGAGATTGAAAATGCCATGGCTTGGATCAGGCACACCTTACTCCTCAAAGTGACGTCTTTGCTTTTTAACACCTTAAAGAACTGTTTTGCAGCAGATTTGCCCAGATTACACCTCAACATAAGGAAAACAAAAATCCTTACAACTGGACCAATAAGCAACATCATGATAAACGGAGAAAAGATTGAAGTTGTCTAGGATTTCGTTTTACTTGGATCCACAATCAGTGC